GAACGTAATATATGAGCTAGAAAAGAAACCTTTAACTGTTTTACTGTGGTTAAACGAATGGCAGCCTTTTCATTAGAGTTACTACAGCCACAGCCGAAGCTATTTTCATCTACGTGATAGATTCACGTTTGAATTAAATTAAATTACTGCTTAGATTTATACTCCGTTTTCTATTGCCTGCTACCCGCGGGGGGTTCTTAGCTTAAAACTGCATTATCTAGTAATCATCACCGCCTATGAGCTTAAGGTGTTCAAAGACAAATTGTACGATGCAACAGGAGAAATCTGTAATGTTGCATGGTACCAACTATTTGTATTAAGTTTGCTTTTGGCTGCGGTATGTCCGTGAATATTCATGTGTAGATAGAGATATCGCTAGTATCATGATCCGACCCAAATTTTTGTACAAATTCCTCTACCAGTTCCATAATTGTACCACTGTTTCGTCTATATGATGCCAACAGAAATGTCTGTCTAATCAACCACTTTAATATATAGCAGCTTGTTGGCTTATCAAGAAGTAATTAAACATTAATCTATCACAGCAATGCTACGTACAAAAAGTTCAGCAGCTGTCGGTTTTAAAATTGATGAATTAACTACTAATAGATGCTATCTACTTTATTAGTATTTTTGAACAACGACTCAAGGATTCAAGAAAAGCAATAATTTCACTAATTAAGATTCAATAAAAAATATGACAGATATCAAACAACTTTTATTAGTGTACAATAATTAGGTATATATTGCATTGTCTTGCTACATAAGATAACGATTAAACTAAAATGTGTTTGACAATACGCTGCTCGAATAATTGCTTCATGCGCTTACGAGAAAATGTTTGATTTACCTTTTACGAAAAATGCCATGCCATATGGAAGCTGAATCTTTGGGTGTCTGTGGCAAATTCATATCTAGGATTTGAGACCTTTTTTAAGCATCCTTACAAAGAGAAAATCTAAAAACATTTTGAGCGATGGTTTCAACAAAGCAATTACGGTCACTACCACTTTTATAAAAAAAAGTCGCACCGTAACTAACCTTTGATATCCAGCTTATGATCCTAAGCTGTTTTCTTTATTTTCCGTTTGTCTTTATTAGTATTTAAGTAAATCGCATCGTGTACCAATTGTACTATATGTTAATACGAATTTAACGTGTTCTCTGCTATTTCCACGAGAAAATCGCCTTTATTCGTAAAAAATATTATTCATTTTAGAGGCATATATGCGCCACCCGCAAATGGAAGAATGAGCTTACACGTTCGCCGTGTGGATCTACTGTATAATTATTGCTGCGACAAATTGAACAGGGTTTCCAAGAGAATCTATGCTTAACATGCATCACTCTGTTGACTAAAAAACTGGACTACCAAATAATAGTAGAGGTAAAAGCACTAAAATTAAGTTACGTACCGATCTAGCTATATTATATACCGATGATGTGACGCCTTGATATCGACTGCCCTAGCGCGCTAAATATGTTAACCCCTGAACGAAACGAACGTTCATGGAAGGTTTCAGTCCTGATTTCAGCATGATTCAATCATGATCAGATTACAGTCATGGTAATCTTTTTAATTGATATCATTATATTCAAGCACTGATATTTTTTCGTAAACGAATCCTAAGCATTTAGTCAATTCGAAACTTTTAGTGCATATGTAGGATCAGTTTAAAAAAGAAACAATAAAAATACTTTTTTATTAAGTTAAGCGTTATTGCTATGACTTTTATACTTATTTTTAAATTCGGCGTGCTTCACAGGACGGTTAGCAGCCATGTTTGCTTATTAAGTGCAAAGATAAATAATGCGCGAAATTTCTAAATATATGTTCCTTTTATTTCAGCTGCTGTGGCCAAAAATCAGCCGTTTGTAGACGGTGTTCTACTACCTTTTACTTTCTGGTTTCCTATAGTATAAATCAATGCTCCAAAAAACAGCCTTTACTCTTTTATGTTTGTGGTCTTGGGCAGCCTAAAACTTCCAGACATTATTATAGGGTTAGCCCAAGGTCACTCAAAAGAACTATCGATTCTATTGTATACGTTAGATTATATTGTCAATCATTTCCTTGTGTACCTTGCTTGACTATGAATGTGCTCTTATTCTTAAATTGCAATACAACACGTCCACTATGTGTCTTCATCTTTGTTATTATCATGATTATCACCGCATTAGTATCTTCCGACGGGATGTCCTGCATACCACCCAAAAGCTCCGTTTTGACCGGAATATGCTCCCATGTCGAGGTAGCCTTCATTGTCTTGTCCACCGCCCCTTCCTTCATCGTTGCCATACCCAGATGGAGCTGCCGTTTGATCTTCAGCCTCTTCGTCAGATGCTACCACTATCATCATCATGAGCAGTATTATTACAAGGAACTAATTATTGCCCATAATAAACAAAAGAAAAACGAAAAAAACGAAGCTAAGCTTAGTTGTCTGTACTCCATAGTGTCAGCTCAATTTTTTGTTACAGACTAAAATTCATGAACGAATCATATGAGCTGCCTTTAAATATATATATTATTATTCTATTATATATATATATATATATATATATATATATATATATATATATAATAGTCTCTCAGAGAGCCGCCTGTAAAATATAAAATGTAACTCTGAGCACTTTCTATATCATTTGATTGGACTTTTGTTCATGGATTTAGTCAAACACGTGTTTGAATTTGTGTTTCACGTACTTACCGATAGGGTGCGATTGAATGCCATGATGATATTGCCTAAGTTGTTCTACATCGTGCGAGTGTTAAAACAAGCGCTGTTTATATAGACGAACAAGAAATAGGAAGCGCAACTAATGTCGCACGCATCGCTGGACGTTACAACTACAAAAATAGCTGTCTCATCATGACGCTAACGCAAGTATTCACTGTTTTTTTGTTTTTGATTTTCTTATGGCTGACGGAACAAAAGTGACATTTTTACTCCACTCAGATGCGATAATGCGACCAACTGACAATTTTTGTACGAGGAAATTCAGGTATGTTGAACACGGGCCCACTCGCCCAGCGGAATACAATAAATGTGCCCATGTTTTTTGCTCCCCACAATGAACTTTAAAATATAACACATATACGTTACATAGTAGTGATAACTTCCATTTTGTACCTCAAATGTTAAAGGACTATTTTTATCGAATTTAAAATGTTAAGGGTAGATAAACAGGATATACAATTTTACGACCAACTTTTGTATGCGTTTATATTAAGTAAGCCAAAGCCCATCACGTAATTACCGAATATGCGTAACTTTTTTTGGTAGCTAACTGAATGGAAGTTAACAGTGAAATAACAAAACTATATAAAAACTAAGAACTGAAAAGGCGTAAAGACTATTTTTGATTTTATGATTGGTGCCAACTCTCATTGCAATGCGTATTATACATTATATATCATTATGATACTTGTGTTGTCTCTAGCGAACAGTCATTGAGCCCAAATCATTCCGATACGTATTTTAGATGTGAAGTCAGTGATTAAAACAGTGACAATTTCACCGTAGAGGGACGGTTATAACATATATTGACAGCAATCGCAAGTAATCGCCATAAATTTGTGGTGTAATGAAAATTAGGAAACCTCGTTTCAAACACAATCAGAAAAGAGATAGCCTGAAGCCAGTCTAGAATATTTAGCCCAAAATGTTTATTGGCGGAACGCAATACTTTTGGTCAACCTTTTTAATAATATTTTGTTTTTATATAAAATGCCATTCCGTCCGCTTACGATTCTATTTGTAACTGTCGCGTCAGATCGTAATCCGTATTCCATTGTATTAAAAAAATGTACTCCACGTTTTTAAATACGCCAAACATCAGTGCTGTTTTTACCAATTTTCTGACATTTTGTACTTCTATGCAGTATTTCGTATGGCTTACAAAATAAACAATCTTCAGTTGAGATTATTAAAGCAGGATTTTAAATATTAAAATAGCTATAACCATAGTGACCACATTTCCTACGTTAAATCATAGATTCGACATCATCAAACATGATTTAACCGACACCGAAGTTTTAGGCCAAAATCGTTGATTGTTTGCTTTTTACTGCTGCGTACACTGAACTTTCTGTACAAGACGGTACAATTGGTATAGTTAGATGGAGAAGTTCTAACCCATTTGGTTGTATCTTAGTAACTATACCACTATGTTTGACGCATAAATACATCTTTTTTGAAATGCGCTTTCCTTACATCGGGCTTAACGACAACAAATCGCGCATCAAAAATAAGGTAGATCTTTGTGGTTTATTAAGTGTAATCACCGGTGTTCAACCAAAGTTAACAAATTGTCCGTGTTATCAATGAAAAAATCCTGTTACAAGGATAGTCATCTGAAGTCAGCCCGTTTATTTGCTATAGTTGTTCTCAATAGCGCATTGACATTTTTTTCTAAAAATTAATTTTTAGTACGAAAAAGATTCAGTTAATAGGCAAAGCTTTGCGAACAATATGAAGTTTCATCAAATAGTAAAGGAAAAAACAGTTATGGAGTTTATTTTAGCAATAGTTAGCAATTGTAATCCTTTTTATTAAGCTTTCTCCCTTTTGCCAAAAATCTTGGATAATTTTTGGCATTAGTTCAAGAAAATGTCAAAAGATATCTAGCAACGCTGTAACTGCTCAGATCAGTATAACTAATCTACAAGTTATAGGTTACTAATCGCCTTACTTAAGTTTGTGAGCTACGCATGACATGTTCTAACAAATATTTATGTCAAATCTTTGAAGGATTATTTGCATTTTAAATCGTTCTTTTTTTTTCGAAGGATTTTGTCTACATCTTGTCAGAAATAAGATACACTTCTATTCGGCAAGGGAAACCAGGTTTAAAATGTTTATTAAACTCAATAAGTATGACCTCTAATGCCTTATTTATATAACCACTTTTATTAAGATTTTTCGGTCTTGTTTACTCATTTATAAGTCGCGGTATAAATTGATGACACATGGATACGCAGAAAAAATACGTAGCAATTAAGCGTAGCGTGTTTTATTGATTACAGAACTTCAGTATATAAATGTACACATGTGATAAGCTATAACACGAATAATATTAACCATTCACTGCGTAACTTAAATACAATTCTTCTTAAATACAACATCTTTCCTCAAGTACCACGAGAGACACCTTTCTGTGCGCAAAACTTCTGCGTAGATGTTTAGGCCATTAGATCATAATCGTCGTTCTGGAATACATGGACAAAATGCATATATCGATACCCGGTTAACAAATAAAACACAAGCAAAAATAATGGTCTCAATATCAACCATATTAAAACAGAAATTTCTGTTTTTTTTCCTAAATAGCATTGTTCTGGAGTTGAATATATATTGAGGCATAGATATATGAATAAAGTAACGATTGACCAACCCGTTGCGAAACAGGAAAGATCTCTTCTGTTTTTTTTTTTTTAATATTTTTAAGGGAATTCAGGATCTGTCAGGGTCTAATATGGAATTAAGGTTGAGTTTAGATGTTCAGTATAACATGCCTATGTATCTACCGTTGTACGCACCATTTCGTTGTATCTAAGAGCCTGCTTACGGACTGCCGAGGCATCCGTCCACGTGATGAAGTCCTCCAACTGTCTAGTAACTAAAAATGCTGGATCACTGACCACGTCTGGTCCAATTCTGCTAAATCAAAGCAAATAGATGGCACAAATATGTCGGTCACAAGTAACAAAAAGCAACGACACAAACTACTACCTATAAAGTAGACTACGTTAAATTAATTATATATTGTTAACTCCGGAGCCAAATGTGATATGTTATAGCTAAGCAAGATCTTCATCATAGCAAATACGTACGATCTCCTTCACGATTGACAATTCTGTAGGCGTAATTCAGTGGAAATGTCTTTGTGTAATTGCCTACCATCACTAACCTAATGTGTCCAGCTTCGATAAACTCAACGGCGGCTTTGAGGTTCTCAGCCATTTCGAGTTTTTTCAGCACAACAGGCAGCCGTCGTCGGCAAAACGACGATGCAGTCACTGTGTCAACCACCTCAAGGCTTGACCTTTCATTAATAATGCCCATCGCATACCTGCGAAGGAAAGTTATCTTAAGTTGCCCATAGCTTAATTTTGAAATTAACATCGGCAAGATATGCTTCTTAATTCATCGTTGGACCGAAAACTCATTCACTGAACCAATTTCAATAGATAACGATGAACAATCGTAGACAAGTCAAGATGGTGTCTGTGATTTTTAACTACCACAACAATTAGTTAAATCCTATGCTTACATAGGCCACTTTAATACTTTAGCGGTTGCATGGTGCAAGTAGCCGATTTACACACAGTTTATTTAGAAGTTCCTTAGTAGATAACTCTTTAAACAGGTCCTTAGCATCGAGGTCTCGAATTTTTCGCGCCAATTCGCGTATTTGCCGGGCCAACTTATTGTACCTGCAAGGTCCAAAAAATGTAGCCTATTAACTATTAGTGGATTATTCAAAGCTATCTATTCATAAATGTATATTTATTAAATGACACAAACTATAGCTAATGCTATAGATGTTCATCTTGAAACGTGCGTGCATCGAGAGACCTTATGGGGTGCACGTTGTTTACGTTGACCCTTGTGATTGCGATATGCTCGTAGCGGTTTGTCCCCAAATAAATTGGTATCTTTCTCTATCACAAAATAATGTATATATGTCATATTGTAGACATGTTGCTACATACGTTCATAAACTTTACCAATTTATAAGTATCAATGTGAAAATAATGGCAATTAACGCTACGTTGTGGATATATAGAATAAACAAATTAAATCTTTGTTTTGCTCGTAAAACACTGAAAAAATTCATGATTTTTATTCATTAATAAGTTTAAAGCGCTTTTATCTGCAAGATATGTTACTGTCTTGATTAATTCGCTCCTTCTAGATAATAAAAATTCGCTTTTTTTCACAAACGTTCTCACAAATTATTTGTACAAACACACTGGGTAAGTTCATTTAAACCAATTATTTGTCTATATAATTCATAAATGGAAAATTATTACTATCAACGATTAACATTATTCTAATGTTAATCATTGATAGATGAGTCTTGACATAGTGATAAGTGTTATAGCTTATCTACTTACGCTGTATAGTCTTCGCGTTTCTGAATGTAGTACTTCTTCATAATCTTCACCTCATGGAGATTGTTATCAACTTCCCAATTGATGAAATCAACTTTTTTAAGAAGTTTTTGTTCATGGAACTTCAACTTTCGAACCATTGTGCTTTGCCGAAATCTCTATCACTCACAAAAATAACGATTGCCGAGATGGCGACTTGGGTGGTTAAACTCCTAGTTGAGAAAGATCAGGGCTCGTTGCTTAACGTTCCGCCAACGACACGTACTACGCAACTTGTGTAAAAAATAAAGCTATTCAATATTTATTAAGGGAGAAAAACTTATATTTACATTGCTGCTTCGCCGCTTATAACTGTTAGTAGTCTACAAACGATTGACGACAATAAGCAGGTCGACACGTGCCATTTTGAATGGAGTTTGAAATTGCGCGCACTTCGGCTCAACAAAGCTACGACAATGGCGTCAAACAAAATCACTTGCCGGATCGAAAGTGCTTCCATTTATTCGGAATATTAATAGCACACCCCAAATTCTCACGAATATTATATAAACATAGACATATTTGCACGATTTTAATAACATTTTAGCGAGAAGATAAGGTATTTTGGTAAACAAAGGAATCAAATATGGCGTCGTTGTGTTTCCGGTACGACGCTCTTTTCCCTCGTGGCTCTAGACGAGTAAGGTTCTTGAGGTGTTAATATTTTATAAAAAAACCGAACCATGGCGGAAGAAGTTCAGCAGCTTGTAAAAAGACGGACTTTCAAGAAGTTTACCTATCGTGGAGTAGACCTTGAGCACTTGCTGAGCATGAACAACGAACACCTCAAGGCCCTGCTCACAGCTCGGGCTCGCAGGAAAATCGAGCGTGGACTGAAAAGGAAACACCTTGCGTTTCTCAAGGTCTGTCTCTAACTTGTAAAGTTGTTTAGGGGTCTGCTCATTACAGATGTTAGACATCTATTTAAGCGGAAAAAATTCTCCCATGTGAACAAGTACGAGCCATAGTGTTGGTAGTCAAAAATTTTAAGGAAGCAGTGCTAAGATTTTGTCGCCAAAATGCTGCTTCATGGTAGCGTAATGTATATGTAATCTACTTGGAAATGCATTGTGGCGTTTCGTCCTTCTATCGATTCGTAGATGTCATTATAACGGTGCTAGTAGTTCAAAATGTGCTATGATACACTTTGCGGATATCCATTGGCCATAAGTGGGGTACTATACGAAGAAGTTGATAGCGTGCGTCACTCGTGGACGTGGTTGTTCTCATCTGTGTTTTGACGTTTACAGAAACTGCGCAAGGTAAAGCAGGAGACTGCTGAACGCGAGAAGCCTGATGTGGTCAAAACCCATCTGCGTAACATGCTGATTATTCCTGAAATGGTTGGCTCTATGGTCGGAGTCTACAACGGCAAGGTAAACGTCATACGAACGATATGCATCTTTTCATTTCTGTATTATTTGAAGTACGGAGCTTAGATCAAACTTGAATAGGTCACGCTTGTGTCACGCTTCCATTAGCCATGTTGTGCAGAGTCAGTTTTCGAATAAGGCCGGCAGTATTGATTTTTCAGATTTAAATGTTTTTTTGTGGTCGTTTCTAATAATGGGTTGATACAGATCCTTGTTATTTAAGTCTTTTTGTGTTTTTGGATTGTAGATTTAACATTGAATTATTTGAACCCCGCACCCGAATTTTAACAGACACAATAGATATACCTCAAGTCGATTTCACTCTATTTAGCAGTTTCATAGAAATTATAGATGATGCGCGTTTGTTTTAAAACTAAAAAAAGTTTATCCTTCTTTTTCATTATTGCAGACCTTCAATCAGGTTGAAATCAAACCCGATATGATCGGCCACTATCTGGGCGAATTCTCAATCACGTATAAGCCCGTCAAGCACGGTAGGCCCGGTATTGGCGCCACCCACTCATCCAGGTTCATACCCCTTAAATAATTTAACGAAATTTGGGGAAAGAAAACAAATACAATGGATGTCATGTTGTATGTCAGCGTGTTTTTTTTTCATAGATTTAAAAAATTTCGTTGTGATGTTTAAATGCTACAAATGCTCCAGCAAGTTCAAATAGCATTGAACAAATCTTATGCTGCTATTTTTTAAGGTCACAAGACAAAAGTGGGAAGGCTATTGAGCCACTAAAAATCGTTGCTCTAGAAAGCGTAATTGAAGTAGTTATAAATTTATACATTAATATTTATTTTTATATTGAAAGAAACGTTCGTCAATATTATCATCATTACACGATTTATAATTGTCAGCTCTTCTCGTTAAAAAATGTTACAATATAGCAGAAAATATACGCGGATACACATTAAGATTATTCGTTAGCTATGTATCAATTTAATCAAAAAGTTAATGTTTGCGGATGCAGACTATATACCTTTTACAGTAGTTGACAAAAAACATTGTTTCATCATGGGCTTAAATCGGAGAACTAAGTTTTTTTCGAGAACAGTTGCTCTAAGGTCCAGTCTTCATGACGATATCGCACACAGCTTAATAGGTGTCCTAGAACTTACAAGCCCCTATCGCCCGATTTTGTGAAAAAGTTAAAAATTACTTAGTCCGTACCTGTTCGCCCATATCTTAGCCGTTCATGGAGAGTTAACACGAAATAAATTACTGCAGTATTTGTGAACACGTTGGAGAATCCAAACACCGCGATTCTGCGGCAACTACAGCATTTGGGAGATGTAGAGTACTATCGCGCGTGTTGCTTTGAGATTTGTGTGCGATCCCGTGTGGTTCAATTAGCTCAGCAACTTAAACCTTCAGATCATGCAAAACTTGTTTGCTATGTGCGATGAGGAACAGCTTTATGCTGCGTTAAGTTTGTGTCATATATTTTTTCAGCTGATTCGCGTTTTTGCCTAATAAGCAGAATCGCCGCATATGAGCAAACGAAATATTTCCAGCCACTTGCAAGTGGCTAAAGTAATCACATAGTCAAAATTCTGAGCAGGAGGTGGCAGCAGATGGCTTTTTTATAACGTCCATGTTAACCGTTTTCGTGTAAGAGATACTAGTTAAAGATTTAGGAAATATGGAACGGTACCAGCTGCTATTGCGCATTCGGAACGCTGAAGGTGTTAAAAAGAAATTCGGCGAACGCATAATTTCTGGCATGATATTTAATTTCACCTTCTAATGCGACTTCGCTGGACTTGTTTTTAAGGATTTTTTGGGAACCAAAATCTACAGGATCAGGTGTTTCCTATACATATTGAGGATCGGGTCTAAAAGACTCTATCAAACATGATTTTTGGTAATTATGCTTCACTTACGTAAAATTTACTCAAATTTCATTCTCAGAAACGGAGTCATCAATGCCATTTGCTCGAGTTATATAGCAACCAGGTTAAAAAGCGGACTGTAAATCTTAGAAGCAAAAATCAGATAAAGATGATTCAATGAAGTTAATAAATTTCTCATTAGCTTTCTCGTTGTTAAATAATTTAGCAAGTTAATCTTACAATGGGACCTGTTTTGAATGAAATGGGTCCATCTCTTCGTCCATCGAAAGAGTAAAACTTCGTGAACTTTCGCGTCGATTTCTCTTCAACGTCAGCATATCAACATCTTGTGTTTTCTATCTGATGGAACACACAGAAAAAGAGATAATATATAGTATGCATGTTGATTCGCCCGCTTGAGTTATCTGAGTTATCTAAATTATAGAATATTACAAGCAGAAGATATGAGGCTCGCGTATTATAGCAAAGGTATACGATAGAAGAGAAGACAAGTAGTACTATGCTCTTACTAAAAACGTATTGTTCACAATCGAATTACATATGTTTAAGGGATACAATAGAAGAGAAGACAAATAGTACTACGCTGTAAGTAAAACATATTGTTCACATTCGAATTACGTATGTTTAAGGGATAAAATAGAAGAGAAGATAAATAGTACTACGCTGTAAGTGAAGACAAATTGTTCACATTACATATATTTAATTTATTGCATTACATTATTTACGTATGTAGCGCTGTGGTATATTTACATGTGTAGCACTGTGGTACATATTTATGGGTTATATTCAATACGAATATGTTTTGCTTGACTGCGTGCGATATTAACAGTTCACACTATAAGTCCCACTTGGTGAGATGGAAATGCGGTCGGACTCTTCGTCAACGCCTATGTCTTCGATTTCCATCGCACGCTCACGGATTGCGCCATTTCTTTCTGCTTGATCCTGTTCACCTTTCTCAGTGATCGTAGCGTCTTTCATACCACTCTTATTTTCTTTAGTAGTTTCGACATCTGATTGTGGTGATTGTCTTTCTTCACTCTGGACAACTTTTTTCTTATCGATAGTCTCGATGCCTGTTTTCACTGCATGGGAAGTGGTCATTTGAACATCCGATTGTGGTGATTGTTCCTCTTCACTGTGAACAACTTTTTTCCTATCAACACTCTCGGGGCCTGTTTCCACTGTATGGGAAGTGGCTTTGTCAGATGGGTTAATTGGTTGGAGAGGTGCTGTGATTTCAAGTTTACCTTTGCAAATATTGACTGGTACTTGGAGGTGGCTTAAGTCAACTGAATCGTCCAGCCGCTGAGAGTACTCCTAATTCAAAACTCGGCAGTTATCAGGATGAACGACATGTCGAGCCTTTAATGTGATTATTCGAGTCGCTTCGTCCAATTCGACGTTCAAGTCTTCTAAATTCCGCAGATTGGAAGGAAGCTGCATTTCTGCTCGTACCTCGTTAACAGTATTATTCCGTTGCCACCTAAGTGGATGAAGCAGTGCATTCCCAATGATGTTACTGCTGTAGTTTTTACATATATTTCTGATTGAAAGTGCTCTGGAAATTCTACTTCTTACAAATTCGCTCGAATTTATACGCAGACTCTAAATTATTCGGCGGGTCGACGAATGGTTTCAAAGATGGAATCGGGTTTACCAAGTCATCCAAAGTGGGTTGACGGCGCCGTATATTTTTGCACTGACTGCGAGGTTCTAATGGCCGGTAAAGAGATAGTCTGAGAGGATGATCCGATGACATCTTGAGACGTCGACGAAGAAAGAGTCTACGCATGTAGCCATCTCCAGGGCCCATTAGCCAGGTCGGCTGCCATGGTTGTAACATGGCTAGCATCATGATGAGGTTAATCGCTGCACACTGCACAGGCAGATGGACAATTAATGCGGTGACTTAGCTTATTTCATTAAATCACGAAAATTCCTTGAAACGCACTTATGCTACTGATTTTGCATGGATACGCGCTCTGCAGTTTTTGGAAGGTAAATCGTGCCACCGTTCCAGTATCAGATGTCTTTATAGCGATGGTGGTGCCATCTAGCAACTGCTAGATAAATCCAGAATGTTTACATGGAGCTCGCACTTTCTAGATTCGCCCCCATGCACCTAACACGATCCAGAATTGTAATATAAAAGACTGCACAGTCAAATGTAGTAAGAAAGAATTCATGTGTAATATAGTATTGATAAAAAAAATAAACGTGTTTTGCAAGTTGGTGGTGATTGAATTAGACGTCATAAACGGTGGGCTTAGGTAGAAGGTAAATCAGTACGGAATTATTATCACAACATACGCGATTAATAAGGCTTGTAATATAAATAAAAAAGGTTTTTACTATTAGCAATGTGGTAATATATATTTTATCTGTCGTCTCTACTTATTTATAACGAAAAATATATAAAACGATGCTTCTCATGCTTTCTGGTATTTTATTTTACAAAGGTTCTTCGTGATTCAGATAGCCCGGAGCATTCTTTTTGTGACAAGAAAAATATGCGGTTATTCCAGTTGAATTCAAAGGTTCTTTAATTGCACCAACAGGAATTACGAATTTCATGTCTAACGTTACTGACAGAATATCTTCATGAATTATTACACTTTGTCGTACCCTGCTCGTGTTAGCCTTATCGCCTAATTTCAACGACAGGGAATATTTTTAAAATTTATTTTATTATGTATGTAGTAGAGAAAGGCATATCGCACATCTAATTTTACCAACGTTCTGTCTAAACTTTGCCAAAACAAGATGTGTCTCACGCCCTGCATACAGGGTAAGGCACGTAAATCGAAGCAAATATTGGCATACTGTTTGTGGTAATGGGCATGCGTTCATTTTCTAGGTAAAAGCCAATAATTTTTAGAGTGAAAACCAAATTTGTCTTAATGAAAGAAACATTGCGTCGTTTCTAAAATTTGAGCGAAGGTCATCTATTAACTAATTTTTTTATACTGGATGAACCTCACCAAAACTAAATATTTCCTTTTCTGATCGAAATCGATGGTTTACGTTACTGCCAGTTTTCACACAGATTTTAAGAAATTCGAAGAATGGATTCATGGAGCGCACCGGACAGTATTCAGTAAGATTCAAATAGAAAGGGCGCGAAATTTCATCAAAGCGGCTCTAAGAGCTAGATTTGGTACAACTAAATTTTTGATATAGGATTTAAAGAAAGGAATATCAGTTGCCATTTGGATTGCTGAGATAGAGCTTCGACGATTCATATGCTTAGGATATTTTAAGCCTTTTTTACAATGTTCGAAATGTTTGACCGCTTTCAGCTCGTGCTTTTTTTCTTTAGCCTTTATTTGATGTACACGCAATTGTTTATCAGTCCTATCCTTGGCGAAACGAAACCTTCTTTTTAAAACCAAGTCATACACAGTATGGCGACTAATTTATTGCCATTACTATACAAAACTAACATAACGGATAAAACAGCTAATGACTTATGCATATTAAGAATTTAGATAGTAATTGAAATAAGGCAATTCGCTGTTAGAAGGTCTTTAAACAACCACTCTTTCAAAACAACTGAGAAAATTGTTTGGTAAACACAATGTATTCTACTGATCATTTTGCCTATTATAGCATCTTCAAAGATGTTTAAACTCCTCTAAAAGCTGTATTTACATTCGAATAAGTACTACTTTGTTCTTAATTCCAAAATAAATGTAGCGCTACACAGTTAATATTAAGAGTTGTTTTATTAAAAACAATATCGTGTGTAGGCCAATGGTGACGCATTTATTTGAGGCTAATCGTAATGTGGGCTTACTGGCTCTTCGTATATTAAGCCTTCGATAACGCAGGACAGTTGTAACGGAAGAGTTTGTCATGAGTGTGTCTATGGTTTATAGCCGACTGACAAGTTTTTCAGCTTGTGGTAGCGGGTTGCCAATATGTAGTCGATGTCGGCGAGATAAAGCAGCGCGTTACGTTTCTTTGGTTGTTGTCGGCAAGCTCGTGGCATCATCACTGTCACCCAGTAACAGGCATACGGAACGTACCCGCAATATCTGCTGTGAAAATCACCAAGCCATATTGCATTAATGCACGAACAGCGGAAAGTTTCGGGTGCATCGAGGATGAGATGATCTAACAATTATTATGAGTAGTAATGAGGAATGGGTTGAGCGGACAAATGTTGCGAGAAGTGCCAGTCTATTAAGCGTTGTCGATGGCTATTCTACTCGCGGGCCATACTGACTGAGGAACGGTTTTTGGCCCGGAGCTTGGCAATGGTCTGCTCGGCAAGATTGGCGCGCTCATCAGCATCCTCAAGCTCTTGCTGGGCTTTGCGGTACTTGGTCAAGTTCATAGCAGCAATCTCTTCGGCCTCTTCGATCTGCCGCTTGTAAGTGCTGATTTTCTGCTGGAGCTTATCGACAAGCTCCTGCATACGTTCGTGGTTTTTGCGGTCTTCTTCGGCCTGGAACTGCATCTCCTTAATTCTACGCTCTCCTTTCCTGGCATTCTTGGCAGCATCGCCATGGCGGCGCTGCTCAGTTTCCAAATCAGACTCCAGCTGACGGCACTTGTGCTCGAGTTTTTCAATGAGCTTCTTGCCTCCTTTAAGGGCAGCAGCCTCGGCCTCATCTAGACGGACCTGGAGGTCCTTCGTTTGAATCTCAAGAGTCTTGCGCATCTTTTCCTGAGAAGAAGCGTGCTCCTGTTCGGCGCGAAGCTCATCGGCTAGACGAGCGGCATCAACCATGGCCTTTTTGGCCTTCTCTTCACACGCCTTGCACTCGTTAATCATCTCATCCAGATCGGCCTGCAGAGCAGCCATCTCACCCTCAAGTTTTCTTTTGGCCATTCCAAGAGAAGCGTTGTTAGCAGCCATTTCGTTGTTAGCTTCGCGCAGCTCCATGTTCTCACCCTCAACTGAGCGACGTGCACGCTCAGACTGCTCCAAAAGCTGTTTAGCTTCCTCGAGAGATCCATGCAACTGGTTGGCGCGGCGTTCAGCATTGGCATACTGGTCACGAGCCTCGTCACGGGCTTTCTGCTCATCTTCAATTTGTGTCTGCATGTCCTTCATCGTCTGCTGGTATCGCTTGATGGTCTTCTGAGCCTCAGCATTTGCTTTGTTGGCTCCGTCAAGAGCGATCTCAAGCTCGTTGATGTCGGATTCCAGTTTTTTTTTCAGCCGAAGAGCCTCAGCGCGACCCCTAGCCTCAGCCTCAAGGGAAGCCTGCATAGAATCGAGGGCGCGTTGGTGATTCTTGCGAGTATTTTCGAATTCTTCCTCCTTCTCCTGGATGCGGCGCTCGATCTCCTGACGTACCTGGCTAAGCTCCAACTGAGCGCGGAGCACCTAAAAGCAGAAAGCCAGCATGAGATTATCTCAGGCCTATATGTAAATGCAAATTACCATAACTGTATAAATAACAATACGAATTGTTTATCTGTTTTCAAACCAACCTTGTTTTCCTCTTGCTCAAGCGCAGCCTCAGCTTCTTCGAGGGCGTGCTGGAGCTCGTCTTTCTCTAGCTCGAGCCTCTTACGAGCTTTCTCGAGTTCGTGCACGGACCTGCCACCCTCACCAAGCTGGTCGAGGAGATCCTTGAGTTCATCCTGGAGATTCTTGTTCTCCCGCTTGACAGCCTCATAGTGCTCCTGTGACTCATCATAAGCAGCACGGAGCTTAAACACTTCGGTGGAGTAGTTTCTGCACTCCTTCTGAGAGGCATCCAGCTCGGCAGCAAGATCATCGGTCTTCGCCTTCCATTCGGCTATAACCTTGTCGAACGATTTCTGCCTTTTTTCAAGCTGAACAGCCAGCTGCTGGGCGCGGTCGACCTCAGCATGCATGTCGTCGAGTTCTCCTTGCAGATGGCTCCTCGTTTTTTCGAGACCAAAAACTTTGGCGTTCAAGCCCTCGATTATCTCTTCGGCGCCCTGCAACTTAATCTGAAGCCTCTTTCTAGATTCTTCTAGCTCCTCGAGGCGAGCAAGGCCCTCGGACTCATACTTGCTCCTCCAGAGCTGAGCATCAGCGTTTGCCTTGGAAAGTTGACGCTGAAGATCAGCCTTAGCTTCCTGTTCCTCTTCTAGAGCCTCACGCAGGTTGTCGAGGTCATGCTCAATGTTACGGTACTTGCCAAGGATAGCGGCACGCTCCTATATAAAAAGAACAGTATGTAGGCTGAATAATACCGCAGTGCTCCCGTGATACCAACAACATGTATTTTGTTATTTAAGTAACGAGTAAGTGTATTCCACTATACTTTATATATTATACTCGAAACCATTTACTCCTGTTATTAGGAGTTTTATACATGACGCACCCTGTTCTCCTCATCAGCAGAGCGTTTGGCTTCCTCAGCTTGGCTGGCAAGCGATGCCTTTTGTTTGGACAGCTGGCTGATCTGACTCTCAGCCTCCTCAAGCTGACGCTGGAGTTCGGAATTCTCGAGGGCCAATTTCTTCTTGGCGGCATCAAAATCATTGACGGTACGATTCGATTCATCCAGCTTGTACTGAGTATCCTGTAGCTGTACCTCAAGCATCTTTACCTGACGCTCAGCATTGGCCTAAAGAGAGTATCCTGGTTAGACGATTTTACGTAGACGCTTGCACATGCAAATACTTATAATTGCAGTGCAGGATCAAGATGCTAGTCAAGTTCTGAGTCAATCGTTAGAAAAATTAGAAAAACAGTCCTTTTAACTCAACTTTTAGGTAGATATAGAAAAATGCAGAGCTAATATGCAGAAGTGAGTGGGTACTTGTATCACTATGATATTACTCTTCCGTTGACATCGTGTAGGTGTAAACACAATGCCATATAGTGACAACCGAAATTGCATTGAGAACAATACCTGAAGCTTCACAGCGTGGTCCAGAGAAGACTGGGCATCGATAGCCTGAGACTTGAAGCCAGCGCAGTCCTTTTCAAGTCTTTAAAGAAGGTCATATTTAGGACAGGGTTCCAAAATGCGGTTAGTGTGATCTAGAGGGTTAAAATTGCTGAATTTGATTGCTCCACGATGCGCTCGAAAGTGCTACTCTGCATCGCTTAACTTATTATTTTCATTATCAAAACTCAAGTACCTTCTCTCGCTGAACGTGTTCAACGTTCTGTCTCATATCATCGGCCTCTGACTTGAACTGGGACCTTTCCTTCTCGAGCCTTTGAGTTTAAGTTTTAGATTAGATCATATTCACGAACATTGATATAAACGAGCTCTTGGTATCGGCTGCTTATTGAACAACAACTAAAATAATAGCATAAATATTTTAGGAAGGGGTATGCTAGACATAAGAGGTTTATGCTAGATACATACTTGGCCTTGTGCTTGTTGAGATTGTCGATGGTGTCTGTCATCTCGACCACAGTGGCATTGTTTTTTTGGCGGAGGGCCGAAACGATCTGCTCATGTTGCGAGTTGGACTCCTCGAGGTCACGGCGGAGCTTACCAAGTTCAGCCTCGCGGCGCTTGTTTAGCTCAATTTGGGCAGACGTGGCGCCTCCAGCCTCTTCTAGGCGCTCTGATAACTGTTCGAGCTCACGGGCAAGGTCAGAACGTTGTTTTTCAGCCTTAGAACGGGCCTGACGTTCAGCTTCAAGCTCTTCCTGAAGCTCTTCGACACGCTGTTGCAGCTCCTTTATCTGTTTTTGCAGTTTGGCAATTTGGGATTGCTCGTCCTCGAGTTTGGTGGCTAGGGCGGCAAGCTCCTTATCTTTGCGCTGAATGGTCTGTTCGAGTTCCTTCTTATTTTTCTCGAGGTCGGCCACGGCCTCCTGGGCGAGTTTTAGATCTCCCTCAACCTTCCTTTTGGCCTTGTCGAGGTCGGCACGGGCTTTCTTCTCACGCTCAAGAGAATCCTCGAGCTCATCAAGGGTCTGCTCCAGTTTAGCTTTCACCTTGTTAAGATGGTTCACTTTGTCCTCCTGAGCTTGCAAGTCATCGGTAGTTTTACTTCCCTGCTCTTGAAGGGACTTCTTCTCCTTGTTTAGCTTGGCTATGAGTTCCTCCTTCTGAGTAATCTCGTCGTTAAGATTACGGATTTGGTGGTCCTTCGATTGTTTATCCTGCTCGGCCTTCTGCAGAGACAATTGAAGATCCTCAATGTCCTTCTTGTGAGCACTGATTTCTCCTTCAAGCTTTCGTTTGTTTTGGTTCAGCTTGTTGACATTATCCTCCTCACGGTGCAGCTTCTCCTCCAATTCGCGAACTTGGCGTTCAAGGTCGGTTTTCTGAGAATTCACCTTGTTGAGTCGCTGCTCAATGTCACCCGCACCGGTACGCTCGGATTCCAATTGGAGGAAAAGCTCGTTCTTCTCCTGGACCAACTTGGCGTTCTGGGCCTCGAGTTCTTTGCGGAGCTTCTCCTCTTTAGCCAGTTTCTCCATCTCCTCCTTGAGCTTATCTTCAAGAGCTGCATGCCAAAGTTACGAAGTATTCTTTAAGTAAGATATTATAAACGATTAAAAAATATGTTTAAGCTTTTTTTCTCTGAATATGATTAGGTAAGTACACATTTTTATTTATCTGAAAATATATATTATGTATATTGCAATAATTGTTGTTTGATATCTTTACCTTTAAGCTCGTCCTCAGCCTTTGTCATAGTAAGAAGAGGCTTAACCTTAACAAAGAGTTTCCACCAAGCCCAATTGCGCATTTGGGCGAACTGGCGAAGATTCCTCTGGAGAACACGGAGCGCCAGGCTAAAAATGAAATAATGCTGTAATTTTACTTTTTGCAACACTAGACAATTAACTTATTACACATACATACATTTTGACGTAGAGTCTGATAACTAGCGATAAAGCTTTGGTAAATTATTTACCGTTGTTCCTTCAGCTTCTGGAAATGTTTCTTGCAAAGGTACCAACGACAGGCCGATTGGATCATGGTCATTATTTTAGCCAGACGCTCGTCACGCATTTCCTCAAGGCGACCCAAAACTCCGGCACGGAAGAACACCTTACATGGGATTAAATTTAATGGAAAAAAAAAAGAAAGTTGATTTCGTGAGAGAAAATTAGAGCGTATATATAAACATTTGCTTATCACATGCAGGGTACAGCAACAGACACTGCTGAAGACAACGAGTATTTTCTAACGGCAGTTTTGTAACACCGTTAGCCACATTATAGGACATATGTCCTCTCCGGACAACAGCCGGGATCCAACATTAAACGTGAAAGCCATCAAGTGGCGTTCAACCTTAGTGCTACCGAAGCGATATTCATCCTTGTCGAGACCAATGTTTGAAATAACTGCGATAGAGGCATCCTTCGCCTCAGAATGCTTCTTAGCTTCCGAAGCAGCCAGAATTGTATACCTGCGAAATGTAAAAAACTGTCAGATCGTCGTACCTTAGTATGTCCAATACGATACTCGTCCTTATCGAGACCAGTCTGAGAAATCAGCATACTGCCAGCATCCTTCAGCTCGCCGGCGAAATCTTTAGGGACCGCATTGGGAGCCAAGATGTTGTAACTGCATACCAAATATGGTGTTAAAAGTAGATCAATTTTTTTATTTGTTCTTTATAAACGTTACTTTGACTGTAGTGAAAGTTTTACAGGAAAAAAACAACACGTATTTGCTTAAAATATTTTGTTTCTTGCCATGCAGCTTACCGCTGACGGAAATCAGGGTACACCATCCTATTGGGGAAACCTTTACGACAGATACGAATACCCTCAAGCACACCGTTACAGGTCAGCTGGTGCATAACAAGATGGGCATCGATAACACGGGGTTGCTTAAACTCGTTAGGGATGATACAGCGCACGAAATGAGGATGTGTCGAGTGGAGGGTGTGCATCAGCTTATTTAATTGTTCCTGTAGGCGAACATAATGGAAATACTTTAGGACACAGAACTACAAGACAATAGACAGATTATTCTAGGCGGATACGTTATTTGGTTCGATCTTCTCATTGACTGAGATAAACTACGCGAAAATACCTAAGGTCTTTGGACATAAAAATATGATTCTACGTACCCTATATAGGCCAGAAACTGTCTGGAAACCAGAACCCTTCTTGCGACCACCACCTTTGCCGCCGCCCTCAGCCTTAGCATCTCCACCAAGACCAGGGTGATCTTCAAAGATGGTCTGCAGAAGCTTCAGGTTACTCTTCTTGAGCTGGTCAACGACGCAGTCGTTAAGAGGATCCTTGTTCTTCTCGAGCCAGCCAGTAATAGAGTAGGAAACGGTGCCGGCATAGTGGGCAATAGCAAAGTGGGCGGGGCCAATATCCTTGCTCTTCGGTGGTTTTGGCTTCTGGAATGGAGCCGACTTGCCAAGATGGGTGCTGTTCAGTTTGTCCTCAAACGTCTTGTCAGTAGCCTTAGGGAACATAGACTCTTCTTCTAGGATGGACAAAATACCCAGGGGCTTCTCAATTAGCTCAATGCAGGCCTGCAGATCAAGACCAAAATCGATGAAAACCCAGTCAATGCCTTCCCTCTTGTACTCCTCCTGTTCCAACACGAACATGTGGTGGTTGAAGAACTGCTGCAGTTTCTCATTGGTGAAATTGATGCAGAGCTGCTCGAAGCCGTTGTAGTCGAAGATCTCAAAACCGGCAATATCAAGTACACCGATGAAGTGTTTACGAGCCTGCTTGGTGTCAAGGGTATCGTTACATTTCTTGACGAGAAACTTGAACAGACGATCGAACATGGCTTTAGACAGGGCACCGATAGCAGACATAACCTGGCCCTGACTTTGACCCTTGGTCACAAATTCGGTACCGACCTTAATCCTGGGTTTCGTCAAGTTCTTGTACAGCTCAGTCGGATCGGTACCCAGAAGCTTCGCGACTTTTTCACCCTCTTCAGTGCCGTCGGGTTCAGCTTGCTCTTCACGAGGTCTCTGCTTAAACTTCATCGTACCGAAGTGCATGACAGAAGCAGTGATCCTGTACACACCATCTTTTTCATCCTTGTCGAAGCCTAGAATGTTGAAGGCCTCATCGGTGTAACCCATTTCTTCACCGTCGTCGACGTTGGGGATCTCGACCTTACCCTGAGATACATAATGGTAGTCGTATATGTTGTCGGAAAGCAGGAGATTCTTCTTCATGTCAGGAATTTTACCGGACATCAATTGGTAGAAGATGTGATAAGAACGCTCAAGTGGCTGCTGAGATATCACACGAGCTTTCTCCAACAGGTAGGTCTCAATATCACAACCGGCTAGTTTGCCAGTGGGGCCAAAATGAATACGGATGAATTTACCAAATCGGGAAGAGTTATCGTTACGGGTGGTTTTAGCGTTACCGAACGACTCAAGAACAGGATTAGTTTGCACGATCTGGTCTTCAAGTGAGGGCTTGTTCTTATCAGCATCAGCCTTTCTGTCACTTTTACCGACGTTGGCGAAGTACGAAATTACTTTTTTCGTGTTTTCAGTCTTTCCGGCTCCGGATTCACCGCTGTGGGAGGTTTTCCAAACTTAGTTGTTGCTTATCATAATTGAATTGGCCTTTTAGTGATTCTCGAGTTAAGCTCAAATCTTAGGTTGGCCAATTTAGAGTATTACTAATCGCGACAAGTCTAATAAATGCCAATATGTTGCAATATTTATCGCAAATGCAAGTGCCTAAAAAAACGAATGCGCTCGCTTGAGAATTTTATGACAGCGCAGAAAGATTAATAATAGACAGCTCTTTTCTAGGTTACTAAGAATGCAAAGAAACAGTGATTTACATTGGGAAGTTGTCTGAGAGGTATTGGGTACAATAACTTAAGAAATCTACTCTAACAACCAAGGTATTAGTGCGACAGTTCGAAAAAAAGGAACTTATATATCGCGGGTACCCATTTTTATAGATGCATAGAATGCCTATGTTCCTCCTAGTTTTGATTATTGTTTGCAGCAATCGGAGCTGAAGAAAGGTCTTAGAATGTTTCTGTAATGCTTGATTTGTAGCGAAGGCGGTGTAAAAACGTAATTATGCATAAGTCACGTGTCTAGACATCATCTAGCCATCTAAACATTCGTACAAAAAATACGAAGATTTTTTCGCGAAAAAAAAAAGATTTCCATAATGAAAAGTTCAATGTCAATTCAAATAAAAAACGCGAGAGATTACTCTGCAACTCTATTAAAGGTACAGGAACGAATAATACAGGGGATATGAGCTTAATGTGAAAAAAAAGGGATGTCTCTTAAGGAAACAAAAACGTAAGCAACGCTAGCCGGAGGGACGCATGTGTGGTTGCGAACTTGAGAGTGTGTATTTCGCGTTTCTCATGCAGTAAAAGGTTCAAGCGTTCGAAGCTGACCGACCGTCGGCCAAGGAAAAGCTTTTAGAAGGTAAAATAGCCTTTTAGGGAGTCAGATGAGACTAGACTTTTACAATTATTTTGTAGAATAAAGGCATTTTTGAAAGTTTATGGGAAAGTTTTTTTACCTTCTGTGAAGGTCTTATAGTACAAAAAAATATAGGGATAGCTGGTGACACCAAAGTTCGTTTTAGATTTTGTTGGGCTTATAGCTTGTGTATGGTTGAAGGCGCGTATATACTAACGTAATAAGCATAGACTGATCTTCGTTGTCCGTGAGCATGTGCATGTAAGCACCGTCCGAAATAGCGAATACATGAGGTGGCACCTCAGTCCTCCTTTTGCCCTTGTAGATCATAACTACACGAGGGGTATAGATGGGGAATCTTTTGTACGGGTTGATGGCGACGCAGAAGAGACCCGAGTAAGTCTGTATAGAACAAAAATTGAGCAACTATTAGCCGATCCGATTCTCATCAGACATTAGCGTGACTTCTTATAATTAAATGCAATGTTCAAAAATATTCAACTGAGTACGTACAATATCTATAAAGCGGTTGTGGAATGTTAAACATCAACCCTATTTATTTTTGTGATTATATTGCGAATCCAAAATACTTACGTAAATTAGGTTGGCGTAGTAACGTTCCTTTAGGTTATGCAGTACAGAAGCATCGTTGAGGTAAGTCATATTGGACATGTCTTCGCACTTCTCGTACTTGGGAGGGTTGACCTGTTGAAGCTGGTCCTTTTTGAATGTCTTTTTGCCTCCGGGGGTTTCGACGACGGCCTTATCACCCTCAAGGGACTCGATGTTCCCGAGAACAAAGCCCTCTTTCTCATCGGGTACCCAAGTCATCTTCTTGCCATCGTACGGCTTCGTAGCATCCTTCCGCTTCATTTCTGCGGAGACGTACAAGAACTCACTCGGATCAGGGTCTTGCGCTGCCATTTTGACCACTAGTTCTGGGGTTCCTTTCTATACCAGAAAAGATGAAACGTCTGAGAGTCCGTTGGTCCACCTGCAAACAACATCGAGGAAATAGCATTCGTAGAAGATTCTGTATCTATAAGCTGTTGGGAATACGTTTTAACTGTTCAATGGATTAGTATGTCTTGGACTATCGATCACTCTTCAATCCATTAGGTGAACGAAAAGCAAGCACCAACGCCAGTATAAAATTATGTTGAAAAACGTGTGGAGCATATTTAAGCTGTATCCAATGAGATACTCGTGCACTGCTGCTTTAGCTATGAACATGTTCTATTAGTAATCGAAGTCTTCATAAGATGAAATACAAATCCATTACTGAATACTCAAAGAAGATTCGTGTAAGCAAAGCTGGATTATTCACAAGCCACCTAAGCAAATAGTGCTCAATAGAGCATTATTATTTTTTGATCTCGATAGTCCAATGGCACTTTGGTAACAGCAAATCCATATTGAAGGACGCCTGTTATACAATCAGCAATTCTGTTAAGCTGAACAGATTGGTTGACCTTAGGGTCTGACGCGCACATAGCAGGCAAGTAAGGTATCCATGGATTCATTCTAGGGGCAAAAGCCCCATTGGACAACCAAGGTCACGCGGCATCCTGATGCATCCTTGGTGTCTGTTGAAGCCACAGAGCTTGGGTCCTAGGATAGGACTCGAACTAGGAGGAAAGCACTACACTTACGTTGTAAAACCAAGCACTCTGAGATCATTCCCAACTCTGATGTCCTTTTATACCTGCTGTGTAATTCCTTCAAGAAAGTAGAGAGGGTTCCGATAACGGGTTCTTGAATGGTCGGCGTCTACATTTATGGCCCTTGTCAAACTAATTGAGAGGCGCTTGACTTCGTCTTGCCTATTGCTAATCTGAATACCATCCCTGCATCTGATAGCGGCAGAGCGGCCGGTTGAGCCTAGTCCAAGAACTTTCGTCGGCATTTACCTATACCATAGCCTAAAACAGAGACGACTCGTCGAGGCTGCAGCTTTCCGGTTGTCTCGCGCCGCTGACCATCTTCAATGAGGATGACATTTAGTAATCAATGATCAGCTGGCACCAGCAAGGATTGGTTCCGACTATGATTCAAAGTTAACCGACAGCGTTTTTCTCGGGAGAAGGCAAATTCAAGGAAAGCGTATCTTTTCTATTTGTCGGGAAGAAAAATCTATTAATTATAAATATATTATCAATATTTTTAAACATTTCCAGTATAGAGTTATTTGCTAGGTGACATTAGGTAGGGCTCGAGCAGTGGTGAGGGAAATAACAATGCGAACGTGGAAATAAGTGATCTGTAGGCAAATACTGTACCTGTCGTTTCTATTTGTTTATAACAAAATAGATATAAAACGGTGCTTCTCATGGTTTCTGCTCTTTTATTTTGTAAAGGTTCTTCGTGATTCAGATAGCCCGGAGCATTCTTTTTGTGAGAAGAAATATATACGGTTATTCCAGTTGAATTCAAAGGTTCTTTGATTGCACCAACAGGAATTACGAATTTCATATCTAATATTACTGATAGAATATCTTCATGAATTACCATATTTTGTCGTACCCTGCTCGTGTTAGCCTTATCGCCTAATTTCAACGACAGGGAATATTTTTTAAATTTATTTTATTACGTAAACTTTTATTTGCCATTTGCGCTAAAACGCATCCCGATGTGAACATTAACGTAGAGTGCGTGTTGCCACAAAGTCTGAAAGCAATTACCAAAAGAACTGTTGCTTTGGTAGTGCAATTGCTGTTTTAGCTGTTTCAGCACTCCCGAAGTTAATAGTCGGATGTGTAGACTTTCAGAAAATATGACTTCAGATATGCCTCCGAGTTGCCGCTGTCATATTTTTGAAGTATCTAGGTGTAAACAAAAAAGCTATAGGATTTTACTTTTCAACGCACCGAGAAAAATATGTAACTGTGTTAGAAAATTTATATATATATAATCTTACCATAATTCAAATGTTGGGACGGTCAAGCATAATACAAGTAGAGAAAGGCATATCGCATATCTAATTTTACCAGCGTTCTGCCTAAACTTTGGCAGAACAAGATGTGTCTCACGCCCTGCATACAGGGTAAGGCACGTAAATCGGAGCAAATATTAGCATGCTGTTTGTGGTAATGGGCATGCGTTCATCCGCTACGTACGTCGTTCTCGGAGTCTAAGCGAAGATCAGCTATTACCTAATCGTTACGCGCTGAGCAAACCCCCAAAAATGAGATTATAAGATTTTTGAATCACCCCAGATAGGCGGTGTATTGCGCCAGGGTTGTATATATATATATATATATATAGTTAAAATTTACGTGTCTAGCATATGTAATATTTTGAAATATTTTCTTATTATTTAATTACTCAAATAGTTTTAGAAACAAAACGTATTAAAAGATTCCAATTAAAATGCCGCACCCGTAAAAGAATAGAAGCACGAATTGATAAATTTTCTGGGCTATTGTCTTACTGAAGTTCAACTTCAAAGTGACTCAATTGTAATGAGCAGATTAAAATGGCTTCAAATAAAAAACGATAATTTTTTTCTTCAAAAAAAGTATCCTTTGCACCCTTAGTTATTGTAAAATACCGTAACCTGTACAAAAGGGCCACCCAGTGAAGCTTTTTCAACAATTAACTAAGCTTGGTGGGACGCTTTTTTAGAAAATAAGGCCGAATTTTTGTTAGCAGTCTAGAATGTCAAATGTGCTTGAAAACAGTATAAATCTAACAGAACTGTGGGCAATATATCCAATTTGGTATTTATCATACGTTCATATATGTAAAAAAGTATCTGTATACGCAAGTTATTTTGTCTGCATGTTTATTTTCTACTGCTGGATCTGACCTGCTGGGCGGATGGTGCACAGGATTGCATTATGCGTTTACGTCGGCCCAGAACACCTTTAGACTTAATGAATCCAGGGAGACGAATTATACACGATTCATTTACCATATAGTTATAATCGGGAGTAACAGCACGAAGTTCACGTGGTTCGTCGTTCTCAGTTTCGTGTCTCGGCCCCTTTTGAAGACCTATCTGGTGTGTAGCATTCATCGTAGAACGAATTTCCCTATTTGTTTACGGGGGGCCCTTGTTTTTTTTTTTATTTCAAGATCAGTGTTCAAACCGGTAGAGAAGAAGCTAAGTGTGGCTACCTTAGGATTCGAACCTAGGCCGCTAAACGCTTCTAAAGTCTGCGAAAAGCTCATCGATACGCATAAACTATTTTTGAGCGGGTCTCTAAAATAGAACTGCCTTTTCACCACGTTTTTAAGATTGAGATGCTTGAATAGCCTTGATAATATATAGACAGATACCAAAATTTAGCCAATGCTGTTTGGTGGTTCATCAAAACGCATGATTAAATAATAAACTGTTGTTTCCAGAAGGTCCAAAGCTCTATACCTGGCTAAATATGCTCGTCGCATTGAGTACATCGCATGTGTTTCAGAATGCACAAATATTTTGCTATGAACGCCTTACGAGTTACAACTCTCGTAATACACCTGTAGGGCTAAAGAAAGCAAGGTGTGTTTCAGACGATACCACCCAACAAGCCTAAAGTTAAGTATAGCCTGGAAACAGTTTTAATGTTATGTAAATGTGGATGTCTACCAATGTGAATTTATGGGATACGAATAGCTGACAAATAAAAAGGCGTACACCAGTAGCCTTTTAGATAATATTTTCTTATTTTCCATATATATATATATATATATCGCGTGCATTTTGAAACAATAAGAGAAAGAGGTAGATAACCACAATGGATGTTTTCAAGAACAGCAAAATTTGCGAAATTACCTTGAAGCTGCTCTTTTATAATATAAGACACTGCAGAGAAACGAACAAGAGCGATTCTTGCATTATTTCAAACGGTCTCTTAACTAACGCAAGGCGGAGGGCAACCCGTCGAATCGACGACTACAAGTTCAGGCCTTCTTCTCCGCGTCATTGTAGATCTACCATGCGTCTCAAGGAGGTTGCTGCTTCTTCCAGCCTCATGCGCACACCGTATTTTAGATCGGGCCTTGCATTTAGATCGATCAGCCTTTCACAATCACACTGCTCTGCTATTGAAGTAGTAGGGATATTATAGATGGTCCAATTGAAAAGGTTTAGAAAACCCGTTTTTCTTTCGTTTGAAGCTATGAGTAACTACGTTCAATCTTTGGAAATCAGGAAGTTGTTTCGGCTTAAACGGCTGGCGGTGAGCTCATTAGGCCTACGTCTAGTGGCCATATTGCTTAACGACGGTTGATCGAAACGATTATTACGATACAGCTGCTTAAACGGGGGGCTTTGGCGCTACGCTTCTCACCATTATCTTAGCATGGCTCGTAAATACAAAGGTAGATATACTTTTAAATAACTTGTATATCAGTGTATGCTCTGCGTGTACTTCATCAGCTTCAGAAAGAGCTTTTTCTTGAACGGTAGATGTTACTTTGCTCGCGTAGGTGCAGTGGTTTAAATTAGACTACGCTAACAGCGTTAATAAACAAGATAATCGAGCGTCTCAAAAACAGACGACCTTTCTGCGGGAATTACTAGCCTATAATTAAGCACTTGAATATAAAGCTAAAGTTTTTCTGGGAAGATTTCGTCACAGAATTGGCTTTACATTTTCGGTATCCGAAAAGAGACTCCGCCGACGGTGAACAATGATAACTGGCGTACGAATACTTAAAAATTTCAAAACTGCCTTACGATAAATAAATAGCAATCGTGCTCCCGTATACTATCATTATGCATAAATGCTTCGAATACTACATATTGATTTCGAACCTAAGTCATTTTCAAATCCTCACATTTGAGAAGGAAGCACGTTACCACGGTATAGTCACAAGGCCAATCAAGAACATGGTTACCTTGATGTAACAAGAAAGGAAATAAAAAACATTGCACTTTACTTCTGCTAAAAAGTGGTTTGTTGGTACAGAAATGTTCTAAAAAAATTTTCCTTTTTCACCACTTGTTATCATTTTTATCAGTTATAATTGTTATGACCTATTGGTTATTTTTATTTTTTTCTAGTATTTAGGAGGCGTTGTTGCTTATTTTTCGTATCATTTTTTTTATTGAGAGGTGATGGTTTTATTCAGCGTTTAGTTATTACACCAGTCGTTGCTGTCTGTGAGCTGTTGGAGTGGTTATTATTATCGTATTTCTAGTCTATTATTATCTCAGTTTTCCTGACTTGTTTTGTCGCGTTTATTGTTACTATTTACTACTTAGCGTTATTATATATTGTTAGAAAGCAACCACCGATGTATTGTCTATGCCGTTATGTAATCTATTTGTTTCGGTCAATTTAATTAGTGACAAAATGTAAATATTATATGAGTAAATGGAAACGAGTGCAAACTCGTGCAGTATTTTAATCTTCTAATATAATAACCTATATAATTATAATAATATAATATAATAATCTAATAACGATCGTTGTGATAAAAAATCCTATAGTTGTTTTGGCCAAATAGTATCATCTTTTTTGTTTTCGCTTTACCACAATAACGAAAACAACAATGTTGATTGTCGCTCAGCTTGTTTTAATTAATACATTGTATGATAAATCTTAGATTATCAATTGATTTATCGGTAGTTAGAGCGTTTAGACTCTAGTAGATAAAATTACAAAAAAAAAAAGGCATGTAATGGTAAGCGTCATGAGCCTTATATTATTTCATTAATAAGTCAATAAAATTTAAAATCAATATATAGCATTGATGATTAATTACTATATTAATGTTTTCAAATTATAAGGTCTTATTATAATTTGACTGACAGATATGAAGAGTTAATAAATATTAACCCAAGACTGCAGGTTAACACGTTCAAATTAGGGAAACCTTTTGCGGGCTGTTTGTCGTAATAGATATGCGCTCATATTCCCAGAACCAGATGAAAGCCAGGAATTTCTAGAGTGAAAAGCAAATTTCCTTTAACGAAGAAGACACTGCGTCGTTTCTGGAATTTGAGCGAAGATCATCTATTAACTAATCTTTCTGTGCTGGATGAACCTCACCAAAACTAAACATTTCCTTTTCTGATCGAAAACCAGTTTTCACACGGATCCTAAGAAATTCGAAGAATGGATTCATGGAGCGCACCGGACGGTGCTCAGTAAGATTTAAATGGAAAGGGCGCGAAACTTCATCAAAGCGGCTCTAAGAGCTAGATTTGGTACAACTAGATTTTTGACATAGGATTGAAAGAAAAGAATATCAGTTGTCATTTGGATTGCCGAGATAGAGCTTCGACGATTAATATGCTTAGGATATTTTAAGCCTTTTTTACAATGTTTGACCGCTTTGAGCTCGTGCTTTTTTTTAGCCTGTACTTGATGTACACGCAACTGTTTATTAGTCCTATCCTTGGCGAAACGAAACCTTCTCTTTAAAACCAAGTCATACACAGTATGGCGATTAATTTACTGCCATTACTATACAAAACTAACATAATAGATAAAACAGCTAAAGACTTACGCATACTAAGAATTTGGATAGTAACTGAAGTAACGCAATTCGCTGTTAGAAAGTCTTTAAACAACCACTCTTTCAAAACAACTGAGAAGATTGTTTGGTATTCTACGGATCATTTTGCCTATTATAGCATCTTCAAAAATGTTTAAACTCCTTTAAAAGCTATATTTACATTCGAATAAGTACTACTTTGTTGTTAATTCCAAGATAAATGCAACGCTACACAGTTAATATCAAGGGTTGTTTTATTAAAAACAATATCGTGTGTAGGCCAATGATGACGCATTTATTTGAGGCTAATCGTAATGTGGGCTTACTGGCTGTTCGTATATTAAGCCTTCGATAACGCAGGACAGTTGTAACGGGAGAGTTTCTCATGAGTGTGCCTATGGTTTATAACCAACTGACGAGTTTGTCAGCTTGTGGTAGCGGGTTGCCAATATGTAGTCGATGTCGGTGAGATAAAGCAGCGCGTTACGTTTCTTCAGTTGTTGTCGGCAAGCTCGTGGCACCATCACTGTCTCCCAGTAACAGGCACACAGAACGTACCCGCAATATCTGCTGTGAAAATCACCAAGGCATATCGTATTAATGCGCGAACAGCGGAAAGTTCCGGGTGCATCGAGGACGAGATGATCTAACAATTATTATTATTATTAGTAATAATGTGGATGGTTGAGCGGACAGATATTGCGGGAAGTGTCAGTCTATTAAGCGTTGTCGATGGCTATTCTACTCGCGGGCCATGCTGACTGAGGAACGGTTTTTGGCCCGGAGCTTGGCAACGGTCTGTTCGGCAAGATTGGCGCGCTCATCAGCATCCTCAAGCTCTTGCTGGGCTTTGCGGTACTTGGCCAGGTTCATAGCAGCAATCTCTTCAGCCTCCTCGATCTGCCGTTTGTAAGTGCTGATTTTCTGCTGGAGCTTATCGACAAGCTCCTGCATACGCTCATGGTTTTTGCGGTCTTCTTCGGCCTGGAACTGCAGCTCCTTAATTCTACGCTCTCCTTTCCTGGCATTCTTAGCAGCATCGCCATGGCGGCGTTGCTCAGTTTCCAAATCAGACTCCAGCTGGCGACACTTGTGCTCGAGTTTTTCAATGAGCTTCTTGCCTCCTTTAAGGGCAGCAGCCTCGGCCTCATCTAGACGGACCTGAAGATCCTTCATTTGAATCTCAAGAGCCTTGCGCATCTTTTCCTGAGAAGAAGCATGTTCCTGTTCGGCGCGGAGCTCATCGGCGAGACGAGCGGCATCAACCATGGCCTTTTTGGCTTTCTCTTCGGACGCCTTGCACTCGTTAATCATCTCATCCAGATCGGCCTGCAGAGCAGCCATCTCACCCTCAAGTTTCCTTTTGGCCATTCCAAGAGAAGCGTTGTTAGCGGCCATTTCGTTGTTAGCTTCGCGCAGCTCCATGTTCTCACCCTCAACTGAGCGACGTGCACGCTCAGACTGCTCCAAAAGCTGTTTAGCTTCCTCGAGGGATCCGTGCAACTGGTTGGCGCGGCGTTCAGCATTGGCATACTGATCACGAGCCTCGTCACGGGCCTTCTGCTCATCTTCAATTTGTGTCTGCATGTCCTTCATCGTCTGCTGGTATCGCTTGATGGTCTTCTGAGCCTCAGCATTTGCTTTGTTGGCTCCGTCAAGAGCGATCTCAAGCTCGTTGATGTCGGATTCCAGTTTTTTCTTCAGCCGAAGAGCCTCAGCGCGACCTCTAGCCTCAGCCTCAAGGGAAGCCTGCATAGAATCGAGGGCGCGTTGATGGTTCTTGCGAGTGTTTTCGAATTCTTCCTCCTTCTCCTGGATGCGGCGCTCGATCTCCTGACGTACTTGGCTAAGCTCCAACTGAGCGCGGAGCACCTAGAAGCAGAAAGCCAGCATGAGATTACCGAAAGCCTATTTATAAATGCGAATTACCATAACTATATAAATAACAATGTTAATTGTTTTTCTGTTTTCAAACCAACCTTGTTTTCCTCTTGCTCAAGCGCAGCCTCAGCTTCTTCGAGGGCGTGCTGGAGCTCGTCCTTCTCTAGCTCGAGCCTCTTACGAGCTTTCTCGAGTTCATGCACGGACCTGCCACCCTCACCAAGCTGGTCGAGGAGATCCTTGAGTTCATCCTGGAGATTCTTGTTCTCCCGCTTGACAGCCTCATAGCGTTCCTGCGACTCATCATAAGCAGCACGAAGCTTAAACACTTCGGTGGAATAGTTTCTGCATTCCTTCTGAGAGGCATCCAGCTCGGCAGCAAGATCATCGGTCTTCGCCTTCCATTCGGCTATGACCTTATCGAACGATTTCTGCCTTTTTTCAAGCTGAACGGCCAGCTGCTGGGCGCGGTCGACCTCAGCATGCATATCATCGAGTTCTCCCTGCAGATGACTCCTCGTTTTTTCAAGGCCAGAAACCTTGGCATTCAAGCCCTCGATTATCTCCTCGGCACCCTGCAACTTAATCTGAAGCCTCTTCCTAGACTCTTCAAGCTCCTCGAGGCGAGCAAGGCCCTCGGATTCATACTTGCTCCTCCAGAGCTGAGCATCAGCGTTTGCCTTGGAAAGTTGACGCTGAAGATCAGCCTTAGCTTCCTGTTCCTCTTCTAGAGCCTCACGCAGGTTGTCGAGGTCATGCTCAATATTACGGTACTTGCCAAGGATAGCAGCACGCTCCTATATAAAAAGAACAGTATGTAGACTGAATAATACCGCAGTGCTCCCATGATACCAACAACATGTATTTTGTTATTTAAGTAACGAGCAAGTGTATTCCACTATACTTTATATATTATACTCGAAACCATTTACTCCTGTTATTAGGAGTTATATACATGACGCACCCTGTTCTCCTCATCAGCAGAGCGTTTGGCTTCCTCAGCTTGGCTGGCAAGCGAAGCCTTTTGTTTGGACAGCTGGCTGATCTGACTCTCAGCCTCCTCAAGCTGACGCTGGAGTTCGGAATTTTCGAGGGCCAATTTCTTCTTCGCAGCATCAAAATCATTAACGGTACGATTCGATTCATCCAGCTTGTACTGAGTATCCTGCAGCTGTACCTCAAGCATCTTCACCTGACGCTCAGCATTGGCCTAAAGAGAGTATCCTGGTTAAATGATTTTACGTAGACGCTTGCACATGCAAATGCTCATAATTATGGTGCAGGATCAAGATGCTAGTCAAATGCTGAGTCAACGGTTAGAAAAATTAGAAAAACAGTCCTCTCAACTCAACTTCTAGGTAGAGGTCCAGCTCTTTAGATATAAAAAATGCAGAGTTAATATGCAGAAGTGAGTGGGTACTTGTATCACTATGATATTACTCTTCCGTTGACATCGTGTAGGTGTAAACATAATGCCATATAGTGACAACCGAAATTTCATTGAGAACAATACCTGAAGCTTCACAGCGTGGTCCAGAGAAGATTGGGCATCGATAGCCTGAGACTTGAAGCCAGCGCAGTCCTTTTCAAGTCTTTAAAGAAGGTTATATTTAGGACAGGGTTCCAAAATGCGGTTAGTGAGATCTAGAGGGTTAAAATTGCTGAATTTGATTGCTCCACGATGCGCTCGAAAGTGCGACTCTGCATCGCTTAACTTATTATTTTTATTACCAAAACTCGAGTACCTTCTCTCGCTGAACGTGCTCAACGTTCTGTCTCATATCATCGGCCTCTGACTTGAACTGGGACCTTTCCTTCTCGAGCCTTTGAGTTTAAGTTTTAGATTAGATCATGTTCACGAACATTGATATAAACGAGCTCTTGGTATCAGCTGCTTATTGAACAACAACTAAAATAATAGCATAAATATTTTAGGGAGGGGTATGCTAGACATAAGAGGTTTATGCTAGATACATACTTGGCCTTGTGCTTGTTGAGATTGTCGATGGTGTCTGTCATCTCGACCACGGTGGCATTGTTCTTTTGGCGGAGGGCCGAAACGATCTGCTCATGTTGCGAGTTGGACTCCTCGAGGTCACGGCGGAGCTTACCAAGCTCAGCCTCGCGGCGCTTGTTTAGCTCAATTTGGGCAGACGTGGCGCCTCCAGCCTCTTCTAGGCGCTCTGATAACTGTTCGAGCTCACGGGCAAGGTCTGAACGTTGTTTTTCAGCCTTAGAACGGGCCTGACGCTCAGCTTCAAGCTCTTCCTGAAGCTCTTCGACGCGCTGTTGCAGCTCCTTTATCTGTTTCTGCAGTTTGGCAATTTGGGATTGCTCGTCCTCGAGTTTGGTGGCTAGAGCGGCAAGCTCCTTATCCTTGCGCTGAATGGTCTGTTCGAGTTCCTTCTTATTTTTCTCGAGGTCGGCCACGGCCTCCTGGGCGAGTTTTAGGTCTCCCTCAACCTTCCTTTTGGCCTTGTCGAGGTCGGCACGGGCTTTCTTCTCACGCTCAAGAGAATCCTCGAGCTCATCAAGGGTCTGCTCCAGTTTAGCTTTCACCTTGTTAAGATGGTTCACTTTGTCCTCCTGTGCTTGCAAATCATCGGTAGTCTTGCTTCCCTGCTCTTGCAGGGACTTCTTCTCCTTGTTTAGCTTGGCTATGAGTTCCTCCTTCTGAGCAATCTCGTCGTTAAGATTACGGATCTGGTGGTCCTTCGATTGTTTATCCTGCTCGGCCTTCTGCAGAGACAATTGAAGATCCTCAATGTCCTTCTTGTGAGCACTGATTTCTCCCTCAAGCTTTCGTTTGTTTTGGTTCAGCTTGTTGACATTATCCTCCTCACGGTGCAGCTTCTCCTCCAACTCGCGAACTTGGCGCTCCAGGTCGGTTTTCTGAGAATTCACCTTGTTGAGTCGCTGCTCAATGTCACCCGCACCGGTACGCTCGGCTTCCAATTGGAGGAAAAGCTCGTTCTTCTCCTGGACCAACTTGGCGTTCTGGGCCTCGAGTTCTTTGCGGAGCTTCTCCTCTTTAGCCAGTTTCTCCATCTCCTCCTTGAGCTTATCTTCAAGAGCTGCATGTCAAAGTTACGAAGTATTCTTTACGTCAGATATTATAAACGATTAAAAAATATGTTTAAGCTTTTTTTTTCTGAATATGATTAGGTAAGTACAAATTTTTATTTATCTAAAAATATATATTATGTATATTGCAATAATTGTTGTTTGATATCTTTACCTTTAAGCTCGTCCTCAGCCTTTGTCATAGTAAGAAGAGGCTTAACTTTAACAAAGAGTTTCCACCAAGCCCAATTGCGCATTTGGGCGAACTGGCGAAGATTCCTCTGGAGAACACGGAGCGCCAGGCTAAAAATGAAATAATGCTGTAATTTTACTTTTTGCAACACTAGACAATTAACTTATTACACATACATACATTTTGACGTAGAGTCTGATAACTAGCGATAAAGCTTTGGTAAATTATTTACCGTTGTTCCTTCAGCTTCTGGAAATGTTTCTTGCAAAGGTACCAACGACAGGCCGATTGGATCATGGTCATTATTTTAGCCAGACGCTCGTCACGCATTTCCTCAAGGCGACCCAAAACTCCGGCACGGAAGAACACCTTACATGGGATTAAATTTAATGGAAAAAAAAAAGAAAGTTGATTTCGTGAGAGAAAATTAGAGCGTATATATAACACATTTGCTTATCACATGCAGGGTACAGCAACAGACACTGCTGAAGACAACGAGTATTTTCTAACGGCAGTTTTGTAACACCGTTAGCCACATTATAGGACATATGTCCTCTCCGGACAACAGCCGGGATCCAACATTAAACGTGAAAACCATCAAGTGGCATTCAACCTTAGTGCTACCGAAGCGATATTCATCCTTGTCGAGACCAATGTTTGAAATAACTGCGATAGAGGCATCCTTCGCCTCAGAATGCTTCTTAGCTTCCGAAGCAGCCAGAATTGTATACCTGCGAAATGTAAAAAACTGTCAGATCGTCGTACCTTAGTATGTCCAATACGATACTCGTCCTTATCGAGACCAGTCTGAGAAATCAGCATACTGCCAGCATCCTTCAGCTCGCCGGCGAAATCTTTAGGGACCGCATTGGGAGCCAAGATGTTGTAACTGCATACCAAATATGGTGTTAAAAGTAGATCAATTTTTTTATCTGTTCTTTATAAACTTTACTTTGACTTTAGTGAAAGTTTTACAGGAAAAAAAACAACACGTATTTGCTTAAAATATTTTGTTTCTTGCCATGCAGCTTACCGCTGACGGAAATCAGGGTACACCATCCTATTGGGGAAACCTTTACGACAGATACGAATACCCTCAAGCACACCGTTACAGGTCAGTTGGTGCATAACAAGATGGGCATCGATAACACGGGGTTGCTTAAACTCGTTGGGGATGATACAGCGCACGAAATGAGGATGTGTCGAGTGGAGGGTGTGCATCAGCTTATTTAATTGTTCCTGTAGGCGAACATAATGGAAATACTTTAGGACACAGAACTACAAGACAATAGACAGATTATTCTAGGCGGATACGTTATTTGGTTCGATCTTCTCATTGACTGAGATAAACTACGCGAAAATACCTAAGGTCTTTGGACATAAAAATATGATTCTACGTACCCTATACAGGCCAGAAACTGTCTGGAAGCCAGAACCCTTCTTGCGACCACCACCTTTGCCGCCGCCCTCAGCCTTAGCATCTCCACCAAGACCAGGGTGATCTTCAAAGATGGTCTGCAGAAGCTTCAGGTTACTCTTCTTGAGCTGGTCAACGACGCAGTCGTTAAGAGGATCCTTGTTCTTCTCGAGCCAGCCAGTAATAGAGTAGGAAACGGTGCCGGCATAGTGGGCAATAGCAAAGTGGGCGGGGCCAATATCCTTGCTCTTCGGTGGTTTTGGCTTCTGGAATGGAGCCGACTTGCCAAGATGGGTGCTGTTCAGTTTGTCCTCAAACGTCTTGTCAGTAGCCTTAGGGAACATAGACTCTTCTTCTAGGATGGACAAAATACCCAGGGGCTTCTCAATTAGCTCAATGCAGGCCTGCAGATCAAGACCAAAATCGATGAAAACCCAGTCAATGCCTTCCCTCTTGTACTCCTCCTGTTCCAACACGAACATGTGGTGGTTGAAGAACTGCTGCAGTTTCTCATTGGTGAAATTGATGCAGAGCTGCTCGAAGCCGTTGTAGTCGAAGATCTCAAAACCGGCAATATCAAGTACACCGATGAAGTGTTTACGGCCTGCTTGGTGTCAAGGGTATCGTTACATTTCTTGACGAGAACTTGAACAGACGATCGAACATGGCTTTAGACAGGGCACCGATAGCAGACATAACCTGGCCCTGACTTTGACCCTTGGTCACAAATTCGGTACCGACCTTAATCCTGGGTTTCGTCAAGTTCTTGTACAGCTCAGTCGGATCGGTACCCAGAAGCTTCGCGACTTTTTCACCCTCTTCAGTGCCGTCGGGTTCAGCTTGCTCTTCACGAGGTCTCTGCTTAAACTTCATCGTACCGAAGTGCATGACAGAAGCAGTGATCCTGTACACACCATCTTTTTCATCCTTGTCGAAGCCTAGAATGTTGAAGGCCTCATCGGTGTAACCCATTTCTTCACCGTCGTCGACGTTGGGGATCTCGACCTTACCCTGAGATACATAATGGTAGTCATATATGTTGTCGGAAAGCAGGAGATTCTTCTTCATGTCAGGAATTTTACCGGACATCAATTGGTAGAAGATGTGATAAGAACGCTCAAGTGGCTGCTGAGATATCACACGAGCTTTCTCCAACAGGTAGGTCTCAATATCACAACCGGCTAGTTTGCCAGTGGGGCCAAAATGAATACGGATGAATTTACCAAATCGGGAAGAGTTATCGTTACGGGTGGTTTTAGCGTTACCGAACGACTCAAGAACAGGATTAGTTTGCACGATCTGGTCTTCAAGTGAGGGCTTGTTCTTATCAGCATCAGCCTTTCTGTCACTTTTACCGACGTTGGCGAAGTACGAAATTACTTTTTTCGTGTTTTCAGTCTTTCCGGCTCCGGATTCACCGCTGTGGGAGGTTTTCCAAACTTAGTTGTTGCTTATCATAATTGAATTGGCCTTTTAGTGATTCTCGAGTTAAGCTCAAATCTTAGGTTGGCCAATTTAGAGTATTACTAATCGCGACAAGTCTAATAAATGCCAATATGTTGCAATATTTATCGCAAATGCAAGTGCCTAAAAAAACGAATGCGCTCGCTTGAGAATTTTATGACAGCGCAGAAAGATTAATAATAGACAGCTCTTTTCTAGGTTACTAAGAATGCAAAGAAACAGTGATTTACATTGGGAAGTTGTCTGAGAGGTATTGGGTACAATAACTTAAGAAATCTACTCTAACAACCAAGGTATTAGTGCGACAGTTCGAAAAAAAGGAACTTATATATCGCGGGTACCCATTTTTATAGATGCATAGAATGCCTATGTTCCTCCTAGTTTTGATTATTGTTTGCAGCAATCGGAGCTGAAGAAAGGTCTTAGAATGTTTCTGTAATGCTTGATTTGTAGCGAAGGCGGTGTAAAAACGTAATTATGCATAAGTCACGTGTCTAGACATCATCTAGCCATCTAAACATTCGTACAAAAAATACGAAGATTTTTTCGCGAAAAAAAAAAGATTTCCATAATGAAAAGTTCAATGTCAATTCAAATAAAAAACGCGAGAGATTACTCTGCAACTCTATTAAAGGTACAGGAACGAATAATACAGGGGATATGAGCTTAATGTGAAAAAAAAGGGATGTCTCTTAAGGAAACAAAAACGTAAGCAACGCTAGCCGGAGGGACGCATGTGTGGTTGCGAACTTGAGAGTGTGTATTTCGCGTTTCTCATGCAGTAAAAGGTTCAAGCGTTCGAAGCTGACCGACCGTCGGCCAAGGAAAAGCTTTTAGAAGGTAAAATAGCCTTTTAGGGAGTCAGATGAGACTAGACTTTTACAATTATTTTGTAGAATAAAGGCATTTTTGAAAGTTTATGGGAAAGTTTTTTTACCTTCTGTGAAGGTCTTATAGTACAAAAAAATATAGGGATAGCTGGTGACACCAAAGTTCGTTTTAGATTTTGTTGGGCTTATAGCTTGTGTATGGTTGAAGGCGCGTATATACTAACGTAATAAGCATAGACTGATCTTCGTTGTCCGTGAGCATGTGCATGTAAGCACCGTCCGAAATAGCGAATACATGAGGTGGCACCTCAGTCCTCCTTTTGCCCTTGTAGATCATAACTACACGAGGGGTATAGATGGGAAATCTTTTGTACGGGTTGATGGCGACGCAGAAGAGACCCGAGTAAGTCTGTATAGAACAAAAATTGAGCAACTATTAGCCAATCCGATTCTCATCGGACGTTAGCGTGACTTCTTATAATTAAATGCAATGTTCAAAAATATTCAACTGAGTACGTACAATATCTATAAAGCGGTTGTGGAATGTTAAACATCAACCCTATTAATTTTTGTGATTATATTGCGAATCCAAAATACTTACGTAAATTAGGTTGGCGTAGTAACGTTCCTTTAGGTTATGCAGTACGGAAGCGTCGTTGAGATAAGTCATATTGGACATGTCTTCGCACTTCTCGTACTTGGGAGGGTTGACCTGTTGAAGCTGGTCCTTTTTGAATGTCTTTTTGCCTCCGGGGGTTTCGACGACGGCCTTATCACCCTCAAGGGACTCGATGTTCCCGAGAACAAAGCCCTCTTTCTCATCGGGTACCCAAGTCATCTTCTTGCCATCGTACGGCTTCGTAGCATCCTTCCGCTTCATTTCTGCGGAGACGTACAAGAACTCACTCGGATCAGGGTCTTGCGCTGCCATTTTGACCACTAGTTCTGGGGTTCTTTTCTATACCAGAAAAGATGAAACGTCTGAGAGTCCGTTGGCCCACCTGCAAACAACATCGAGGAAATAGCATTCGTAGAGGATTCTGCATCTATAAGCTGTTGGAAATACGTTTTAGCTATTCAATGGATTGGTATGTCTTGGACTATCGATCACTCTTCCATTCATTAGGTGAACGAAAAGCAAAAATTAACGCCAGTATAAAATTATGTTGAAAAATGCGTGAGGCATATCTAAACTGTATCCGCTGAGATATGCGTGCACTGCTGCTTTAACTATGAACATGTTCTATTAGTAATCGAAATCTTCATAAGACGAAATTCAAATCGATTACGGAATATCCAAAGAAGATTCGTGTAAGCAAAGCTATATTATTCACTAGCCACCTAAGCAAATAGTGCTCAATAGAGCATTATTATTTTTTAATCTCGATAGTCCAACAGCACTTTGGTAACAGCAAATCCATGTTGAAGAACGCCTGTTATAGAATCAACAATTCTGTTAAGCTAAACAGATCCGTTGAGCTTAGGGTCTGATGCACACATAGTAAGCAAGGTATCCATGGGTTCATTCTAGGGGCAAAAGCCCCGTTGGATACCCAAGCTCTGGCGACATCCTGATGTATCCTCGGTGTCAGTTGACGTCACAGAGCTTGGGTTTTAGGATAGGATTTGAACTAGGAGGAAAGCACTGCACTTACGCTGTAAAGCCAAGCACTCTGAGATCGTTCCCAGCTCTAATGTCCTTTTATACCTGCTGTGTGATTCCTTCAACAAAGTAGAGAGGGTTCCGATAACGGGTTCTTGAATGGTCGGTGTCTACATTTATGGGGCTTGTCAAACTAATTGAGAAGCGCTTGACGGCGTCTTGCCTATTGCTAATCTGAATACCATCCCTGCATCTGATAGCGGCAGAGCGGCCGGTTGAGCCTAGTCCAAGAACTTTCGTCGGCATTTAGTTATACTATAGCCTAAAACAGAGACGACTCTTTGGGGCTGTAGCTTTCCGGTTGTCTCGCGCCGTTGACCATCTTCAATGAAAATGACATTGTGCAATCAATGGTCAGCTGGCACCAGCAAGGATCGGTTCCGAACGTATCAAAGGTAACCGACAGCGTCTTTCTGGGGGGAAAAAAATTCAAGAAAAATGTATCTCTTCGATTTATTTAAATCTATTAATTATAAATATATTACCAATATTTATGTATTTCCAGTGTAGGGTTGTGTTCTAGGTGGCATTAGGTAGGGCTCGAGCAGCGGTGAGGGAAATGACAATGCGAGCAATGAAATAAGCGCTCTGTAGGTAAATCGCGCATAGAGAAACCTGCAGTAATCACCTGACATAGCTTGCCACGAATCAGACGAAAGCTCGAAGAGAGCCCCACGCTAGTGCTTTCCATATATATATATATATGCATATATATCTGATGTCTTCGTATTTGAGTTAACTGTCAGTTGATGATCTTTTTATTATTATATAATACCAATCATTTTCATGAATGAAGCTGCGAGTGTGATTTGGCGTTTTCAGATGGCTTATCGTTGCCTTCAGGGGGATCGCCTTGATATTTTTTAATAAGTCAAGTATCTGGGTGTGAGCAGTCCACAATCAAGTATTAATGATTAGCAAGAAGTTGGTTAGAATCATTTTTAATTCAAGCTGAAAAATCTACTAACATAACTAGTGGTTAGACATATATTAACGAATCTATACTAGAAAACGTAATAAAATAAATTACACACAAAATATATTGGCGTTTTTATTTGGACTGCACAGTACTTTATCTTACAGATATGTTTGTTGCGTACCCTATCAAATGTACCTACCACGGTACGAGAAGTCCCTTTAAACAAGTTGGAAAATCGTCTGTATATTATTGTTTCTTTCCCTGTTTTGATACTTCCTCTATTAGGAACTAGCTTATATATATATATATATAACATAAATAATTGTAGTTTTAAAACTGTCTATGGTATAGCGTAACTTAATTCTGATAAAGTAATGGAAATGTGTACTAAGTTTTTCTTTTGCCTTCAGTCATGGCCTTAATGATTAAAGGTATGCCACCAGTGTCCTTGCTAATATATCATCAAATGTACAGAAGTATACTTCTGCGTATTGCATAAATAATTGCGCTTAACATAATTGCATGAGAAACTGTGTTTAAATTCTATTAGACAGCACATAAAGTTAAAAAATTATAGCTATTATAGATATGATTAACCGTGTACTTCTATAAAAATCAAATAAAATGTACATATCAACGAAACAGACGTAGGCAAACGCCGTAAGTTGGCTGTAATTCACTATAAGTTTCTCTGACGTGGCATACTTCGTATTTATTCAAAAGGGAAATATATATATATATATATGAAAAAAATGAAGATCGTTATACTATGTTGCCTATTAGATAAATGGGAGCTTTTATTTAACCAGCAGTACCTGCGTAACAGGAATCATGCTTTAAGCATAACCCTATAACTTGAGAAGTGAGTATCTTTAGAATGGTATTGTGTCTTCGAACAAGCTTAATATTTCGCAACTCTTAAGTATTTTCTCTGTAGTTAAAAATAATCACAATTTATGGAATGGCGGGACTGAATACAGACACGTTGAGGTTTCTTGAAACATTGGGTTGGCATTTGATATTCAATGCCATTGAGGCTTTTTCCAGGCTGCTCGCATTTCTTTTGGACTGAGCTTGTGGCGAATTTCCCGACTAATATGCATCGTGCCACCACGCGGGTCTCGCTTAGCCATGTCAATAGAATGCATTGTGCGCTACATGTCTGACAAAAGGTCGGCTGTTAAGGGATTACGCAGCCGATTCAACTGGCCCATCGCGGCCGCTTCAAGACCCACCTGAAGTAGCGACTGTATCTGAATATTCTCGGTCCCTATGTCCCGTCTTTGCTGCGTTTGTCCACAAACATATGGTGCTGCTTCAAGGCTGTCTATTACATCGACTATATTCAAGCCTAATGTGCTTGTTCAACCAACCCGCTTATGCTCAACACGAGACTATGTGGGCACTAACCCAGGTTCACCGACTAGGTTACCCTTTCGGCTGCTTGAAACAGCAAAAATCATACTTTTATCACATTTAGTCGTCTTGGCCTTCCTCCTGCAAGCGACTTTGAGATATTCCTTCTATTGGTTACTTACCGATTTGTTCCCAGATATATGTTCAAGAAATAAACAAATAAGAATCTAATTTGAAGACAAATCGTAATGTTCAAGTTGATCTGTGACCCATATTACTCAATCCTTTTAGTTATACATTAGTGAGTGGGTATAGCAGGTCTACTACTTTCAAACAGTCCGTCTATACTGCGATAGGGAGACAGATTATACAATATCAAAAGTGCTATTTAGTCTCTCATAGAGCTTCGTCTATAGAGGTTTAGTTCTTGACTAAATACCGATATTTGCGGTATCGACTATTTACTGCAAACGCATCGTAGCAGAAATCACAGTATTACCCTACAGAAAAGCTAGTCAGTTTTATAATCGCTGACCCTTCTTATTCTTATTATTCCTTCCCTTCCTATTCTTATTATGATTATCATGTTTCGCACAATAACCCAACCAGACCAATGTCATTTGCTCCGAGATAATCTCATCAGTCATATTTAAATAGGTCATTATGGCGGCGCGTTAGTTCTGGTAGTGTTTAATACTCAGTATGTTATGACCACAAGAATGGCCCTCGATAGAATAGGCCAAATTCTCCTATCGCGCTACATTCTAGTAACAAATTAAGAAGATCCTTACTTTTTCGATAATCGAACTAAACAAATGACGGGCAAAATACAAAAGTCTCGCCAGCTCGCCCGACTGCGAAACATCTAGGCTACGTACATCTAGGCATTTGTTCGTTTCTTGCTTATGAAAGTCGCTTTGGAGTACATCTTCAAAAGAATCAATGCAACTACGGCGTAATGCCTCTGTCCCCAGACCAGCACAGTTGGTGCATTGTGCATGCACTGGCTGGCGTTGAGTCGGTAAAGAACAATTCGTGTGTCTATTATTGAAGCTAAGGTGTTTTCTATGCCTTCTCCCTGGTCTTTCTGGCCACATTCGATGGGCCCACTGACTATTGTACTGTCTCTAGGCCTAGTCAGTCGCGTAGTTTGCTTATAGACATCCTGCGACGAGCGAAAAACATCGAGTACCGGCGCTGTTCTAGTGCCATTTTTTCTTTCAGACGCCGGTAGTAGACAACGGTATAAGTCTTATCTAGCTAACTTCCTAGCAACCCATTCATAACGGCTCTCTTGGAAGTTTTTAAAAGCTGCTTAATATTCCAGTGCCGCTCTTCCTTTCTGTCTGTTTGTCTGTCGTTCTTTGCGGGAATATTTTGCCTATGGAGTATAATGGCTCGCGCGATTTGTGTTTCTCTGGCTAACCACGGACAGTAGTTAGTCCCTTGATTAAGGAGGTACGAGTCACTGCTGGTGATTGAATTGGCTTCTGGTGAGCCGAACGCGGACGGGGCCCTATCTTTTGAACCTACAAGCTGGAGAGCATATTAGCACAAGAAAGAGTCTTAAGCCTAATACTGCCCAGCTATTTACTAACAACGACAGATAGTGCATGATCTATTGCTGTTATCGGTGCTACCACAGTGGCTCCTATTACTGGCCGGTCGTCGAAGCTGGTCTTCACTCTGCAGCTGGCTTCCCCAGCCAACGATGACCACGCCAGCTACAGCTGGTCGTTCGTGCATATTATTTCAGTGGAGCCCTCGCTCAGCAACAGCGACTCATGGCAGAGACAAGGCGATGCAAGAACGACAATCTTTCTTCGCTGGTTATCTTCTCGTTGTTGTTGTGCGGTGGTGGCTGGCGCCATAGCTGAAGAATGGGGAAGAAGGCAGGAACTCGCTGTGTTTATCGAATAGGTCCCTTTGCAAACGTGTCGAACCTCTTTACAGACACACGCCTTATACATTTAAACAGTTCTTAGATATTTTTCTGAATGGACAGGAATGCGTGAGCAGCCAAAGCGAGTCACAAACAGGCACAGCAGGGATTTTCAAAGCACACAAGTGTGTGTGTTTTGAATTCATATAGTAGCCTAACAAGCTGGTTTAGGAAATTTACGATCACGAAGAATATGGAGACATTACAATGCTTGGATAACATTTTATAGCAGTGTCACCTTACCGGTACGTAAAATGTACTATAGGACTAAAACAAATGGAGAAAAAATAAAAAGGTCAAGCATTATGATGTTAGAAGCATTTGCGGCAAAGAAACAGTGGTTATAGCCGTTTTCTGTAGCTTCGAGATTTGTCTTTTACCTATTTTTATATGCTACAGCAAACATATTTTGTCAACATTTAAAAACATTGCTAATTTAATTAATTTTTGTTCTAGTTATGCCATCTACGACAAACAGTTGACCCAAAGAAGACGGTGAATTGCGGCAGAGAGCCTAGAAAAATTTTGACATTTATGCCACGATGTAACAACATAATAGTTATAACATTTCGCTGACAAAAAAGGCACCCTGGGATCGACTCCCAGACTTCAATGCAGATTTTTCAAATCGACACAGCTAAAGTTGAGGATTTATCCGATTCAAGCGACAGATTTCGGTGTGGTCCTGTGCCACATGTGATCTTCTCGGATCCAAATATACAAATTTAAAGCAGCTGTACTGTTTATATATATATATATATACATAAAGAGTACAGTTGCGTTTATATATATATAGTTTTTTTTTTCTTTTTTTTATATATTTTATATAGTTATTCATTAGAGAACAAATCAAAAGGAGCCATTAAAACGATGCATCGATCACATTTCTTCCCACGATTATATCCACCCCCACTACATGTTTCTCAGAGTCCTCATAAACATCAGCACCTCCGTCGTCGTCTTGTTTGTGCGTGACTTGTTAGCTGTCAAATAGGCTAGAATCGGTTGGCTAGATGAAAGCCTCAAGGCGTTGATAAATCTGTGTGCAATATATGCGTATCGTGGGTGGACCTAACATGATCTATGACTGCATTTAGTGGGCTACCTAGAGCGACGAGGTTCCGCTGCAACAGGTCTAGGTTTTATGCTCACAACCGTCTAATGTTTTCTTTTCCAGACTCTAACAGGCCTATCCTTCAGGCAAGACCGCCCGCCTACACACTCAAATCCACTGGCCATATTTCTTTAGCATTCTCTGAATGTATGGTACAATAACTGTCAAGTCATCACCCAAGACACGTGACCTACTCGAATCAAGGTGAAGGTCACGTGCTTCGACGGACCATTCTTCGTAGCCGTATTTATGATTTTTAATGTGAATGACCTTGACAGCTATTTCTGTAGAGTTTGAAAGGGTAATATTGTTGCAATTTTCAAGCTACGTTACGTTGAAATTAACAAAAGTCACCTCAACAGGTGTAATTTTCCTTCTTCTATTGCTACTTTTGTTCTAATCCCTGCTTTTTTTCTTGAAATAGTGATACAACAGGACATAGTTGCTTTGTTGAGCCTTAGAAAAGGCAAACTTTTGAACGTATAAGAGGTTACCTAATTCCCTTCTTCCATAATAATGTAATTTATAAGTGCTTTTGCAAAACTTCGGCACTAAACAAATATTCCAGCCTAACGTACTACTGTACTTCTTTTTATGAAGTTCGCAGGATAAATTTATAACGACAAGTCCTTCTTCTCTTAGAAAATGCTGTATATTTATATGCAAAATTGACCCATATATATATGCAGTGCGAAAACAGTTATTTATTTAAATATTTGATACTCTTTTTGTCCGTTACTTTATCATATTACAGAGAGATAATTCTCAATATAATGATACAGAGACTTAGTATGCATTTTCTAATTAAATCAATACTTTTTTTTTAAACATCTTACACGGATTTTACGTCTATCCTTAATTGAATTTCTACCATTTAAGTATCCGCAACTAGGAATTAATCTCCTATCCCGAATCAACGAATCAATAGCTTAATTTTATGTTAATTTAGTTGTTAACTGTTATACCTATTAGGTTGCTTGCAAGTGAAACGTTCTTATTTAGAAAATGTTTCAAGTCTATTCTATACAGAATTTCGGCTCTTTCTTTATCATGTTGTTCGCAACCTCAAAAAATCGTTTTTGTGACTTTTCGGCTAACGAGTTTTCATTTATCTTACTAAGCTTTAAACTTCCTATTATACTTTTTACTTATTAGCTTTGCAAAGAAGTTCACAGAAGGTTCTGTTCAACAAGTGATAGCGGTGAATGATATTTATTGGGTCACATTCTTTTTCTTTTAAAATGTCAATCGCTCGCTTCGTTCTGCAAACGCTGATAAGGGCAATATTGTGACACCGGGCCTGGCTAATTGTCGTCAGCGTTCGATATTATCGAAATAAAATAGGGTGATTGCCTCCCTTTGCCAGACCCGAATTACGCTCATGCCTTTTCTACAGCTAATATTATGTTGCGACAATTAAGCAGCATCGGTTTGGATTCATTTACTCGCGTGCCATGCTGACTGAGGAACGATTTTTGGCCCGGAGCTTGGCAACGGTCTGCTCGGCGAGATTGGCACGTTCATCAGCGTCTTCAAGTTCCTGCTGGGCTTTGCGATACTTGGCCAGATTCATAGCAGCGATCTCCTCAGCCTCCTCGATCTGTCGCTTATAAGTGCTGATCTTCTGCTGCAGCTTATCGACGAGCTCCTGCATACGTTCGTGGTTTTTGCGGTCTTCTTCGGCCTGGAACTGCAGCTCCTTAATTCTGCGTTCTCCCTTCCTGGCATTCTTGGCAGCATCGCCATGGCGGCGTTGCTCAGTTTCCAACTCAGACTCCAGCTGGCGGCACTTGTGCTCGAGCTTTTCAATGAGCTTCCTGCCTCCCTTAAGAGCAGCAGCCTCAGCCTCATCTAGACGGATCTGGAGATCCTTCATTTGAATTTCGAGAGCCTTGCGTATCTTCTCCTGAGAAGAAGCGTGCTCCTGTTCGGCGCGGAGCTCATCGGCTAGACGAGCAGCGTCAACCATGGCTTTCTTGGCCTTTTCCTCTGACGCCTTGCACTCATTAATCACCTCGTCAAGATCGGCCTGAAGAGCGGCCATCTCGTCTTCAAGCTTCCTCTTGACCATGCCAAGCGAAGCGTTGTTGGCAGCCAGTTCAGCGTGTTGCTCACGAAGCTCAATCAAATCGCCTTCTGTAGATCGGCGCCCTCGTTCAGACTGTTCCAGAAGCTGCTTAGTCTCTTCAATGGAGCCATGAAGCTGGTTGGCGCGACGTTCAGCATTGGCATACTGGTCACGAGCCTCATCACGGGCCTTCTGCTCATCTTCAATTTGTATCTGCATGTCCTTAATCGTCTGCTGGTACCTCTTGATGGTCTTTTGAGCCTCAGCATTGGCTTTGTTGGCTCCGTCAAGAGCGATCTCAAGCTCGTTTATATCGGATTCGAGTTTTTTCTTCAACCGGAGAGCCTCAGCGCGACCCTTGGCCTCAGCCTCAAGGGAAGCCTGCATAGAATCAAGGGCGCGTTGGTGGTTCTTGCGAGTATTTTCGAACTCCTCCTCCTTCTCTTGAATGCGGCGCTCGATCTCCTGACGTACCTGACTAAGCTCCAATTGAGCGCGAAGCACCTGGGAAAGAAAACACTTTTTAGAAAGACAACTAAAAAATTAGCAGTTTTCAAGTACTGACGTTTTGTTGACTCTTTGAATATTATAAAAATAAACTTTTTACGTGAAAAATTTGTACCAACCAACCTTATTTTCTTCTTGCTCGAGTGCAGCCTCAGCTTCTTCGAGGGCGTGTTGGAGCTCGTCTTTCTCCAACTCGAGCCTCTTGCGAGCCTTCTCGAGCTCATGAACAGATCTACCACCCTCACCAAGCTGGTCAAGGAGATCTTTGAGCTCGTCTTGGAGGTTCTTGTTCTCTCGCTTAGCAGCCTCGTAGTGTTCCTGGGACTCATCGTAGACAGCACGAAGCTTGAACACTTCGGTGGAATAGTTCCTACATTCCTTCTGAGAGGCATCCAGCTCGGCGGCGAGATCGTCGGTCTTTGCCTTCCATTCGGCAATGACCTTGTCGAATGATTTCTGCCTTTTTTCAAGCTGAGCAGTTAACTGCTGAGCGCGATCAACCTCGGCCTGCATATCGTCGATCTCTCCTTGCAGATGATTCTTCGTCTTCTCGAGGCCAGAACACTTCGCGTTAAGACCTTCAATCAGCTCCTCGGCGCTCTGTAATTTGATTTGCAGCTTCTTCCTAGATTCCTCCAGTTCTTCCAAACGAGCAAGACCTTCAGATTCGTATTTCGACCTCCAAAGTTGAGCTTCAGCATTGGCTTTGGACAGTTGTCGCTGCAGATCAGCTTTGGCTTCCTGCTCCTCCTCCAGAGTTTCGCGAATGTTGTCAAGGTCATGCTCGATATTACGGTACTTTCCGAGAATTGCGCAACGCTCCTAAAAATAACAGGTACACAATGAATATTACTATTCGCCTGCATCATATGACCATCCATAAATACGTTCGACTCAGCTAAACACATGCAGATTTAAGAAAATAATGCTTTTCCTATGCATACCCTATTCTCATCGTCAGCCGAGCGTTTAGCTTCCTCCGCCTGGCTGGCAAGGGCCGCCTTCTGCTTAGATAGCTGACTGATTTGACTTTCGGCTTCCTCGAGCTGACGCTGTAGCTCGGAGTTTTCCAGGGCCAACTTTTTCTTTGCGGCATCAAAATCATTTACCGTTCGATTCGATTCGTCAAGCTTGAACTGGATATCTTGCAGCTGTACTTCTAGCATCTTAACTTGGCGCTCGGCATTGGCCTAATGATCATACATGATAGACGTTATACACTGCCGTTTAAGTGTCAGCAATAGATATATGTATATAAAGGTTATCTTCTCCAGAACAAGATGTAAAATTTTTAACTAAAACGTACGTTTCACATAAGTTCAGAAACTGAACATAATGCGAGAATTAAATTGGCGTAATGTACCTGAAGCTTCAGTGCATGGTCCAGAGAGGACTGAGAATCTAACGCCTGGGCCTTGTATCCGGCGCAATCCTTTTCAAGCCTTGAAAAGAGAATATGATAAGGACGGGATCAAATGTGCAATTAGGATGACTGGGAAGGTTGGTCTTTTTTGTTGGCAAGTGCCCTGTAGTTACCACGAGATGGTGCGTTCAATAGTGCAGTAAGTCGTCTGTGACACCACTATTTTTTTTATTGTACGTTCTCGCATTGTCGATTGCGAGAATCTATTATCATCGACCTTAATCGTATGCTGGCTAAGTGCCTTGTCGAGCGTTTTAGGAAGATTTCTTTTAAATAGGTAAACTGCAGTAGGTATGCCAGGAAAATATAGTTACACCATTAACTTACTTGGCCTTGCTTTTGTTTAGGTTGTCGATTGAGTCGCTAAGTTCTGCTACAGTCGTGCTACTCTTCTGACGAAGGGCGGATACGATTTGCTCATGTTGGTTGTTGGCTTCCTCGAGATCTCGACGAAGTTTGCCGAGTTCAGCCTCACGGCGCTTGTTAAGCTCGATCTGAGCGGATGTTGCTCCACCAGCTTCCTCCAAGCGCTCCGAGAGCTGTTCAAGCTCTCGGGCGAGGTCGGCACGCTGCTTCTCGGCTTTGGAACGGGCCTGACGCTCGGCCTCAAGTTCTTCCTGAAGTTCCTCAATACGCTGCTGTAGTTCCTTGATCTGCCTCTGTAGTTTGCTGATCTGAAATTGCTCCTCTTCGAGCTTAGTTGCCAAAGCAGCGAGCTCCTTATCTTTACGCTGAATAGCATGCTCCATCTCTTTCTTGTTTTTTTCTAGATCTATGACCGCTTCTTGAGCAAGCTTGAGGTCGGCCTCAACCTTCCTCTTTGCTTTGTCAAGATCAGCACGTATCTTCTTCTCACGCTCAAGGGAATCCTCCAGCTCATCAAGGGTTTGCTCAAGTTTCGTTTTTACCTTGTTCAGATGATTAACCTTGTCTTCTTGGGCCTGCAGGTCTTCCATAGTCTTACCTCCTTGCTCTTGCAAGGCCTTCTTTTCCTTGTTCAACTTGGCAACAAGTTCTTCCTGATGTGCTATTTCGTCATTTAAATTACGAATCTGATGGTCCTTGGATTGCTTGTCCTGCTCGGCCTTTTGCAAAGAAAGCTGCAAATCTTCGATATCCTTCTTATGAGCGGAAATCTCGTTTTCAAGTTTCCTCTTGGATTGATTTAGTTTATTAGCATTATCCTCTTCCTTATGGAAGCGTTCCTCCATTTCGCGCAGCTGACGTTCGACTTCATTTTTTTGAGCTAGCGTCTTGTTAAGGCGCTGTTCTATATCACCGGCGCCTGTGCGCTCCGATTCAAGCTGCAAGAATAGCTCGTTTTTTTCTTGCAAAAGCTTAAGGTTCTGGGACTCGAGCTCCTTGCGCAGTTTTTCTTCTTTGGAGAATTTTTCTTGTTCCGCTCTAAGTTTCTCCTCCAAAGCTGTAAAAGTATATTGTAATCATTTGATTTGAAAAATGTATCCATGTGATTCCTCGAATACCTATACCTGCATCTTCTATAGACTATAATTAATTGCCTTTTTAATGCCTGACCACGTCGCCTACCTTTAAGCTCGTCCTCAGCCTTAGTCATGTTTAACAAAGGTTTAACCCTGACAAAAAGTTTCCACCATGCCCAATTGCGCATTTGAGCGAACTGACGAAGGTTTCTCTGTAAGACGCGCAGTGCGAGTCTGCAAGAAAAAATATGTGATATATTGGATATTAGTGAGTTTTTTACGTGCAATTTTGCACATTATTAAATTCTTACGCATGACAAGATGTCTTGTTGTATATTTGTGATGAAGTATTTTTTATTATAACTTGATGTATAAAAATGTATATATTATCGTTATAAAAATTAGAATAAAAAATCTACGTACCGTTGTTCCTTGAGCTTCTGGAAGTGTTTTTTGCAGAGGTACCACCGGCAGGCTGATTGAATCATCGTCATGATCTTAGCTAAACGTTCGTCGCGCATTTCCTCGAGACGACCGAGGACACCGGCACGGAAAAAGACCTACGAGGAACGTGTGTTTCATATTTATAAAAACTCAAACGCGGCATACGATCCAGATACAAGCATACCGTGAATCAACTGCGTGTGTATGAAATATCATTCATACTGAAAGGCATGCCATACGAGTAAAGGCTAAGACCTAAGACAGATGTTTAGCGAATTTAAAAACCGAAGGACAATACATGTTAGGTTTCTGTAATGAATTTAGGAGTTCTAGCTTGCAACTACTGTGTAGTTTTCATAGAGTATAAAGGAACAAAAGTAAGGCCAAGAACTATACCTAAAATGATAACCGAGCTCATGAAGTTATATTAGTGTTAAAACGTCCGATCACATTAGGCACAAAACACTAGAGCTCTCTGGTTGAGTGACTGCAAACGAAACAAAAATGATTTCGCTCTTAAAGGCCTTTTAATAAAAATGTTAGTGGTTTGCAAATTGTGGAAAATTCCGGAAAGATTGTACGTCATGGAAAAAAAATTTAAGAAAAGTAAAGGTCCTTTGTGCGTCGGCGTTCTACCTTGGTGCTGCCGAATCTGTACTCGTCCTTGTCAAGACCAATGTTAGAGATAACAGCGATTGAAGAATCCTTCGCCTCGGAGTGTTTCTTGGCCTCCTCAGCGGCAAGAATTGTATAACTGTGAATAGATAGTGACATACGGCAAGTTAATTTCCTACTTCAGTGAGAGGACAACGGAAGTCGTGTTTGTTGAGATTGACCCGCATGAAGCTAGACTCTTTCCCTCCAGCGGCATAGTTTGCTGGCGTCGCGTTGAGAGCAAGGATTTTATAACTGTAAAATAAACATTTCATTTCAACTTGCCAACATATGCGTCGTGAGGTGCAAACGAATATAATTACTATTCTTAGGACATAATGTTGGACTCACCGTTGACGGAAATCAGGATATACCATCCTGTTGGGAAAGCCTTTACGACAAATACGAATTCCCTCAAGCACACCGTTGCAAGTCAGTTGGTGCATAACGAGGTGGGCGTCAATGACACGAGGTTGCTTAAACTCGTTGGGGATAATGCAACGTACGAAGTGTGGATGCGTCGAATGTAGGGTGTGCATCAGCTTATTCAGTTGTTCCTGTTGATTCACACAATTGAGAACATGATATAATAAAGGTGCTGACAAACGATCCAACTATTAACATCATTTTGAAACATCGTACGCGAATAGCACCGCAATGCGACTCTTATAGACACTTCTTTTCTGATATGGTCGAACGTTTAAAATTCTTCGGTCAACTTACTCGATACAGTCCAGACACGGTTTGGAAACCAGACCCTTTCTTGCGGCCACCTTTGCCGCCACCCTCAGCCTTTGTGTCGCCGCCAAGTCCGGGATGGTCTTCAAATATAGTTTGCAACAACGGCAGATTGCCCTTTTTGAACTGATCGACGACGCAGTCGTTTAGAGGATCCTTATTCTTCTCAAGCCAGCCAGTGATAGAGTAGGATACGGTGCCGGCATAGTGGGCAATAGCAAAATGCGCAGGACCAATTTCCTTACTTTTCGGTGGCTTAGGCTTCTGGAACGGAGCCGACTTTCCAAGGTGGGTGCTGTTTAGCTTATCTTCAAAGGTCTTGTCGGTAGCCTTAGGAAACATTGACTCCTCTTCTAGGATAGACATAATACCCATGGGCTTTTCGATCAGTTCTATGCAAGCCTGCAGATCAAGGCCAAAGTCGATGAATACCCAGTCGATGCCTTCCCTTTTGTATTCTTCTTGCTCTAGTACGAACATGTGATGGTTGAAGAACTGTTGCAGTTTCTCATTGGTGAAATTGATGCAGAGCTGCTCGAAGCCGTTGTAGTCGAAAATCTCAAAACCGGCAATATCAAGTACACCGATGAAGTGTTTACGAGCCTGCTTGGTGTCAAGGGTATCATTACATTTGTTTACCAGAAATTTAAATGTGCGATCGAACATCGCCTTAGACAAAGCACCGATAGCAGAAATAACTTGAGTCTGATTCTGCCCCTTAGTCACCATTTCGGTACCGACCTTAATCCTGGGTTTTGTCAAGTTTTTGGCCAGTTCTACCGCATCAAGTCCAAGTAGCTTAGCAACATTTTCGCCTTCTTCCGTGCCGTCAACTTCAGCTTGCTCCTCGCGGGGTCTTTGCTTGAATTTCATAGTACCAAAATGCATAACAGCAGAAGTGATGCGGTACACACCCTCTTTCTCCTCAGGAGTGAAGCCTAGAATATCGAAAGCTTCATCGGTCAGGCTCATTTCCTCACCATCGTCGACATTAGGGATTTCCGTTTTACCCTGGGACACGTAGTAGTAATCATGGATGTTGTTTGAAAGGAGAAGTTTCTTTTTCAGTCCAGGGATTTTGCCAGACATCAACTGGTAGAAGATGTGGTAAGAACGCTCAAGAGGCTGCTGTGAAATGACACGAGCTTTCTCAAGCAGGTAGGTTTCGATATCAGCTCCAGCCAATTTTCCAGAGGGACCGAAATGTATGCGAATAAACTTTCCAAATCGTGAAGAATTGTCATTACGCACGGTCTTAGCATTTCCAAAAGCTTCAAGTACAGGATTAGTCTGCACAATCTGGTCTTCAAGCGATGGCTTGTTGCTGTCAGCTTCTGCCTTCCTATCACTTTTGCCAACGTTGGCGAAGTACGAGATTACTTTCTTCGTGTTTTCGGTCTTACCGGCTCCGGACTCACCGCTGTAGACAAACAAGGATGTAAGTAATGTAAAGGCATGCAAAAAGCCAAAAATACAGGTAAGCCTAAAACATTAAGGTTTAGATGTGGATCGGTTCGGAACTTAGTCAATTATCATGCATATATATTGAATTACAGTTCGACATTATTCAGGCAAGTTGTGAATTTCCATATATGTATATATATACTAACGTAATAAGCATAGACTGATCTTCATTGTCCGTGAGCATGTGCATGTAAGCGCCATCCGAAATAGCGAATACATGGGGTGGCACTTCAGTCCTCCTCTTGCCCTTGTAGATCATGACTACACGAGGGGTATAGATGGGGAACCTCTTGTATGGGTTGATGGCGACGCAGAAGAGACCCGAGTACGTCTAGTGAACGCCAAATATACTTAGTTTTAAACCACGGATGACAAATTCAAACTAAAAATTAGCCTCCTTGTTTTTTTTTTAATTTGTTTCTTTTTTTTGTTATCTTTCTCCAGATCTCTCTCTAACCCTATGGTTCTTTATATTAGGGCACCTTCAATACTCACATAAATTAAGTTAGCGTAGTAGCGTTCTCTCAGATTGTGAAGTACAGACGCGTCGTTGAGATATGTCAAATTAGACATGTCCTCGCACTTCTCGTACTTAGGGGGATTGACTTGCTGAAGCTGGTCCTTTTTAAAAGTTTTTTTGCCTCCGGGGGTGTCGACGACGGCTTTGTCACCCTCCATCGAGTCAATCGTGCCAAGAATAAAGCCCTCCTTCTCATCGGGGACCCAAGTCATTTTTTTGCCATCATACGGTTTCGTAGCGTCCTTTCTCTTCATCTCCGCAGAGACGTAGAGAAATTCAGTAGGATCAGGGTCTTGAGCGGCCATTTTGTCTTTTTAGTGCCCGCTAACTCGTTTGATCACAATGAAAAACAGGAACACAAAAAGAAGTGATTGCGCCTGAGAGTTAGTGGCCTACCTGTAAAAAATCAGCGTTATTATATCCGTAATTTGGACTGATGACAAGATAGCGTCATTATGGTTATATATTCAGATTATATAGGTGCATACGAACAATGTTCTAAGCAGTGTTGTCAAAACGAGATATCAACATTTGATTTTGCATTACATTGGAAAGGAGCGATCGTATTGTACTCCCATAAGTGGTGCGCGGTGGATACGTGGTAAAATAAAATCCAGTATCTCGTTGGTTTCAGATCATAATGAACATTCTCTTAGCTCACAAATTCAAGAAGGCTCTCGTTGATATTAACTAGGGGAGCTGGAACTTCAGCCATCTTTGGGTCTAGCAATTTCAGATGAACGAAAAGTCGAAAATCTGGTTATTTATGTACTTGAACAGGTACTTCCAATGACCGCTGCACACAAACTTCACTTAAGAAACTATCATTTTCGTATATCCATTGGCTGTGGGAACTGCAAGGAACCTTAAGAGGTATTGCAGGAGGCTGTTTATTGAATGGGACTCACGATCGAAAACGGATCAAAGTAACGCAAAACACTTACGCTGCCAAGCCAGCACTCTGACCCCGCACATGGCGTCACAGACTTTTATATCTGCCACCACAATTCCTGACCACTGAGTAAAAGAGGCAAGTGGAAAGGTCTGACCCAGCTCGTAGGGTTCTTGAGTGGTGCGTCGGCGGGCGCCAGAGTTATGATGCGTCTTTTCCGGACCTGCTTTTACCTTGGTTAAGCAGAGTTGAGTACTATTGGCAACTCAACCTCTCATAGCAAGACGTAGCACTGACGTGCCGGTGCGGATGGATATAGAACGCTAGCCATTGGACGGAAGCATTTCAAGAGCCCGTGTGGCGGCGGTGGGGGCGGTCGGTCGATCGGTACTCAGGCAGTGACGCAGCTCTGCCAGGGCCCGTGACGCCCAAGCCTGCTAAAGGATACGTCGGGATCTCATTCGTCTTAGCTATGTTAGCTATATCAACCATTAGGAAACGAACAATCAGCTTAGTTCCTGTTGAAACATGAACATTTGTCCCAGAGGTCTGTATTAAACACCTATAGAACCGCAGTAAAGCATGACTACAGTTTGCAACACTTTTGCTGCTTATTTTCAACGATAATGTTACCTAGTAAAAAGAGCATTATCCTACAGAGATTCCCGATTTCAGAGATGCGTCATTTAGTACACGATCTCGTTCTTACTAGTTTTTATCTCCGACAGGAGCATACTATATGGAGATTCTGTGCCATTTCCAAAAATCAAACCATGGGGCTAAAGTTCTTTGAGTTTTTTGTTGAGTTACAATTACATTGTACTTGACATGGAATATCTCCACCCCGTTGCAGTGACATCCATCACTTTGCCACGGCTTTTTCTAATGGAACAGACGGTGGCATCGTTGTTTGCATTACGACGGCCTATCTGGTTCTACCCAGACATCCAACAGGCACTGACCAGTGTGTTGAAACCCGCTGAGTCCCCGAGTACGAGCTAACGAGCACAATAATCGTCTCGTTCCCATTGCATCTGCTCAGTGTAATTTGCCTGTAGTGGTTATTGATCAGAGCTGTTCAATAAATAGTTTTAGGACATCCTACACTTGATAACATGAATGTGCCAATTCAACAGTGTGCATCAACCCCCGGCACACTTTGCTTCGTGCGTTAGTAATCTTGCTATACGATAGGAATTTGAAATGTAGACAGCTCATGAGGCGTATATCATAATAGTTCGGTGTGGCGGTATGTTGCTGACCCTTTCTGTATTGTGGTACATTTAGTAGAAGTTTTAATGAAAACTTTTTTAAAAGTTGTATTTTTGCCAATGACGTTACCCCAGAATAAATGATGACTGAAACCAATGTGTTCTTTAGAAGGTACGCGAGCTTAGATGCATCTGCTAAGGTCCGGTTTGTTGCCACGAGTTCCTTCAGTACCGTTTAGACCTGCTTTATGTTAATGACTCGTACATCTCTCTGTGTACAGCCACTTAAACGATATACAATATTCTTACATTCTTGTCGTTTACTCGAACTCAGACGCCGATATAGCAAAATAATACACTAGCATGCATTAAACTTGTCGCCTAATTTCGAGGACTCCTATCCGCGAACTGTTGAAGAAGTGAATGCGCTTCAGACCTTATCTTGTTCTCCAGTTGGTGCATATTTTCTTAATGTTGGGATAAGCCACACCTTTTTTGCTCTAACTTAAATCGGTATTAAAATATATATTTGTACTTTTTTGTTACCCAAGGTGGTTTCACTTAGCGCCTTCGGCAGGTGTTACTAGCGAAGATTAAGAACGCGACCGAGTGAAAAGGTCAAACAGGTTCGCAAAGGGTTCAGGTCACGTTTAAAGGCAATGTGCTTATAGACGGAGAAATGTTCTCAAGAGGCGCCTCCCACGCAAGCCATGCAGTGTTAAAGAAGTCTTCGTCGCTATGTATCAACATAAAAATCTTTTGCACATGACTCATTTACAAACGACTGTTATTCTGGTGTTTTATCGCTAATTTACGAAACGATTGGATGACTGTTATGATTGCCGAGTTATTGAATTGGTTTTTGGCCAAACTGGCTTTTTGCCTAGAAGGTGGAGGAGGCCGATAAAAGAATGGCTAACACCGAACCGGGAAAACATCACTATGCGCCAACCTTGGGTTTGTTGATTGCTGGCGATAAACACGCGTGGTGCGATACAAGTTTAACAATATAGGTTGCTTTCCATTTGATGTGTTTATCTCTGCTTGTGGTTCATTGAGTTTTTGCTATTGTTCTGGCCTGTAGTAGTTGTAGTGTTCCTCTGTAGTTTTAGGGCACGCCCGACGTTTAGCCTGGTTCGCTGGCATCGGTAGAACGCGCGGCTTAGGAGTGTATTCTCGTATCGACCCACAGTGCCTTCGCCTACCATAGTCGCCTGTTACTGCTACTGCTGTTCCTCCCTTGGCTGTCTAACTGAGTGACTCCTGTTGTTTGTTGCAGACAAGAGCTGAGTTGTGTCCTGCTTGGTTCTACCACCGACATTTCAAAAAGTAAAAACAACATCACCAGCAATCTCATCTCCTATTTCTTCGTCAAGTATTGCCACCATCGTCACGCAATAAGCAGCGGTTCCACTACCAGTGCCATGAACGGTCACTAGTAGTAAATCGCTAGCTGAAAAGGCAATCATAGCCGGGCCTGCAAGTGTATTTAGGAAGTCAGGAAGGGTCCGTGTCCGAGCAAGTCGGAGAAGTCAGGTTAGGGAAACCGGACTATATGTGTTTCTATTTTGGGGCAGTGATAGGCCATGAGAACCTGTGACGGAAAGCCGACACAGGCTGCGCGGAGCAGTCGCAGCGAAGGGCCAAACCCTTGGAAGTCATCTATAGCTGGTCTTAAGCGAAGCTATTTGTGTCGCCCTTTCCTGAGTGTGGAGTAGAGTGTATGGAGGCGGTGGCGACGAAGGCGGTGGGCATAGGTACAGGTTCTCGCTAATGGTGTTACACGCGGTCGTGTGTTCTTTACCCAGCAGCCTAATGGATGTCGCCGTTATAACTACTGCTTCGAGCAGGGTTTCACTCCCGGATAGTACTTGGCTTACTGTTTCACCAGCGCGGTTTGGCTTTTTGTCTAGCCTGTGCTGGCGCTCATGTATCTCTCAGCCTAGGAGATCCTTGTCTCGGTAGCCCGTTCTGCAATCTAGAGACTAATGCTGACGACGACGGCTTTACGACCGATGTCTTTTTCCTCTATGGTGTACCAGTCAGTTGAGGAAAGCCACCACACCAAAGCACACACGCGTTTTGCACGAAAATGTCTCCTTCAGCCAGTAGCCTTCTACGCGCTGACTAGGTCCAGCAAACATCCGACCCTATAGCCTGCCTATCGCTTACTTGCTAGACCTGTGTGCAGCTCTGTGACTGCACACGTCTGCATCTTCGATGACTTTACATCCTTCTGCTTTACTTTCGGAAGGAGTACCGGGTGTAGGTCTTGTCGCGGCGGGTTACGAACGCCACATATAAACACGCATACCTAACAGACAAACAGCGAGCTGGAAGGAAAGAATCAACATGACAAAGGAAAGCTAAAATTAGGAAAAAGCTTGAAAGTGAATATGGCTCTCTCCATGAGTAGCCCAACAAAATACAACGCAACTCCTTTGACCAGTGCATTTTGTCAAGGATGTGAGCGACGCGTTAGCAATGCCATCATCGTCGGCAGCAAGAAGCACTAAAGATGTCGTGATGCAACGGTTGAATATATCCGCTGTATTCTGACTACAGGCAGACGTTTCTCTGTTTTTATATTGTAATCCTTGTTTCATCATTAATGGTGTAATACCTAATCTTGGTGCAGTTGATGCCTAGAGGCAGAAAAGAAATCAACATTTGTGTAAATGACTAAATTTGAAGGAAAGCTCCGAAACTTAAGTGTAGTTCACAAAGAAGCGACAATATTTCCAATTCAAGTTGAACTTAGCTTTTGCAACAATTTTGTCATTTTATTGTAGACTCATATCGGACAGCTGAGTATATCAATTCAAAACTATTCGGTATTTTTTATCTGAGAGCTTAACTGATAAAGTAAGCGTAGATAATGTGGCAGCTGAAAAAAGAAGAAGACAGATTTTTCCCATAGGTACCGTATTTCTCTATCTAATCTGATAGGGCTGGTAAGCTCTGGTAGATAGGTCGATTTCGGCGTGTCTTGAATAGTGATACAAGTGCGAGTATTATGCATAGGTAAAACATGAGCTGGGGACAGCATTATGTGGATAGGCACATAGATCCTTATTTGTTTTTTCTATTTGCTTTTGTTTATTTGTTTTGTTTATTCTTCTCAATGTAATCCGCATATCACTGCAATATTGCTACAGTCAAAATACTGCATCTATACAAAAGGTATATGATTATTTATAAAAAAAATAAATTCATTTATTTTATTTACAAATTTAAGGAGTTTACCTACTTTTATAGGTTTTCCTCCAAAAAAGAGTATTATTTTGAACATTATAAAATATTTTAGTAATAATATCTGTATAAGAAGCTATATTTATATTAATTATTTTAGCTATAGTTTATTTTCTAAAGTAATTAATTATATGGTTAAAGAAAAAAAACTTTAGGATTAATATAGTATTATTATTAATCATACCTTTGTTTTGAATACTTACTTCAATTTGTTAATTAAAGCTTCAAGTTCAAGTTAATTAAAGCTATGTATTTTTTAATCTTAATAATGGTAAATTTACACAATTATATAATGCGATAAATGTTTTCTTGTAATCATGAAGATATTGGTGCAATTTATTTTATTTTTAGAATCTGATCTGGTACAGCTTTATTAATAATATTGATCCGTATTGAATTAGGTCAACCGGGACCTTTTATTGCTGATGATCAAATATATAATACTATTGCTACATCTCTATTCGTATATGATTTTTTTTATAGCTATAATTTGTGGATTCGGAAATTGATTCATTCTTTTGATAATTTCTGAAACTCTGGTTTGATTTATATGAGGCAAACATCGCAA